GTGATTTACACGCTTTTCTCGTGTTCTCCCAACATCCCGCGTGGGTTATCACGCCGGTAAACCCAAATAAAGTGTGGTCTATTGCTTTTATAAAATAACTTTAAGTTATGAGTTTACCGGCACAATAAACCATAGGGTTCTAACCAATCAGAACGCGCGTACCATCTTAGAATAAGCAATAGACCACACTTTCTATAGGTTTTCCGGCGTAATAACCCACGCGAGATGTTGGGAGAACACGAAAAAAGCTTGTAAATCACGAGCCGAAGGCGAGTGATTTACAAACTTTTCCCCCTACTGTCGCTCAGGCCCCTCAGGCAGAGGCGAAAATACAACGACTGATAAAGGCATGAGAAAGATTGGAAGGTTCTAACTACTTAAAGTCAATAGAACAGGATAAATCAGCCACTGAACCCATTATAAATTTACCATTCCTTTTTCTCCGAATTCACCATTCTGCAATAATAACTAGAATGACAAAGCAACTGTTAAAAGCATTTGTATTTGTAGCATAAGTGCGATAGACTCAAAATAGTTTTAAAATCTTATGTTCTAAGCCTAGCCTTCCCGCTCAGTTTCGTCAAATTTAATATATACAGGGTGTCCCAAAAGTTCTTTCCTCTAATTTCATGCACGATAACTTTCGATCAAAACTTTATTTTCACATGAAATTTCTAGACAGATGTTTATTTCTCTGCCGAGTACATGTATTCCGAATTTCAGTAAATGTCATGCCCTTTTTGTTTTTTTATCACATTCTGCATCCGTTGCGGCATGGTGCGGGATACAGCGTGTAGATCCACAGATGATCCTTTTTCAGCTTTTTTATCACCTGGTGCGCAGGAGCCAGTTCAACACCAAAACAATATTTGTTTAGTTTAGGCAGCTGAAAAAAAAAATATTTTGGGCATTCATCCAAAATAGATAATCATCCCGGCCCCCTTTCACAGCAAGGCTTTTGCAATTCTTTACAAATCTGAGACGAGTTGGGAGTTACTTGGCAGACTAAGCAGATCGTTTTTATCCGCCATCTCAGGGGCCTCTAATTTTAAACATTCGCTTTTAATGACCCTTTCTGGACTTGCTAACTATATGAGAGTTTCCTCTTCGAGTCTCCTATTTTGTATCTAGCCTTCTTTAAAACTATTTTAGCTGCTTTATTCAGGACTTCTGGTTTTCCCCTTCGTTTCGTGCTCTTAAAACCTTCATTTCTCCATGGTCTTTTTACCATCCAACATTCGGATTTTCCCCGTTTTTTAGCAGTTTCTACAACAGATAAGCCAGTAAATCGAAGTATACATGCTTATTCTCTCGTTTTTGCGTTAAGGGGGTTTATCTTTCGTGATATTCACAAACAAGCAAGGAAGGAGTTCGAGCAATTCGGGCTACAAAATACAAAAATTATGTGTCTGGAAAATATACTCGCGCACGCGCACCTTTGGCGCGGATGTACACAAATCGAATATTCGAGTCAAACGATGGCAACAAGCATGAAAAGAATTAGATTGAAAGACACAACTTTTGACTAAATGATTTGCTTACCAAGTCCAAACGTACTGAAATACAGACTCTTAAAGTAGAGGAACTAACTTTTGGGACACGTTGTAAAGCTATTTAACAGTGAAGAGGGTCCCATCTCTATTTAAATTCTGGGGTTTTGTAGGACGACCGTTATGGTTTCCATGTTAACAGCGCCTTGAGAGGGATCTGAATAACGGCCTTCTTTTTTGCAGGCGTCTGATTGACTACTTTAACTAAGACGAAGTATCTAAAAAATTCAGTCTCGCTCCAATGAACCATTCATAGTTTGTAAATAACTCAACACTATTTGTCTACAGGAATCATTCTCCAAAACAGCTTTCAATCTTTAGCTAGTAAAGATCACTAGAACTTACATTTCGGATTATCTTTTGGTGAAAAAATCATGAAGCTGGCTATCTTTTGCAGCTTTATTCCGTACGTGACTAGCCGAACCTGGGATCTGACGGCCAGGCTTTTTTCCGCTATTTTCCTGCCGGCCCTGCAATACATGATATCGGAACTAAGCTAGTAAAGTGACTGAACCACTAAAAACTTATTCTAGAAAAGTTGGAAGAAATATCGAACAACAATTGATTTTTGGTTTACATGCTTCACTTGCCTGATAAAAATAAAACAAAGGAAAGCCTTTTAGCGTTCAAAACCCGCCCACCGAAGTTAGTTTTTTGGTTGCTAACCATAAATAATGTCTTGGGGCTATAAATTAAGCAGAGACCGTGAACAGGAAAACAGCTTCACGGTCTGTAAGCACTTAAAAATTGATTCTGTATTGGCTAGCCAATATAAAGGAAAGGTAACGAATTCATTTATGCATCGGAAGTTTTTTTTCCCGTTTTGTGAAATGCATGCCGCACTGTGTATATATTTCATGGTACTGTTAGAAGCTGTCACGCCTGGTTTGGGATGTCAGCGTTCTAACCGGGCATAAGCCTGTTCTCATTGTTCGTCAGCCTGAGGACAGAAAGCTCAATTCCTTGAAAGAATATTTCACTCTGAATGAGACCGTTTGTCCCAACTTCAAGAAACGGTAAGCACTATTTGGGTTTGTTTTCCTTGTTATAATACTCAAAAGTCAAGAGAACAAAAGTATCAGCGTCAAGACCGCTCAGGAAAAGATTATCACGTAGTGGTGTTAGCGGCATTAACCTCAAGATAACTTTCTATTTGTCACAATGTTTTCAATAATGCAAAATATATTGTTAGCAGAATCTTTGTAATGTGGCAGAAAATTGAGGTTCATAGCAGTAAATACTGAAAGTATTGAAACTTGGGTTCATTTACAACAGGAATACAAATTCAATAAACTAGACAAGCGAAGCGTAAAAAACATTTTGCTTGGGTAGCTTCACGGCGTGAATGCATCAGTTATACAAGGTACACTGATTTCCACAATGATTCTTTTCTTACAATAAAACAGTTCGAAAAACACTATAGCTAAAAGAAAGGTCGTCAGAGCCCTTTTTTCAAAAAAATCTGAGTAATTTTTACCGAAAACGGCACGTGTTCACCCAGGCAGTAATAATGACTTTGCTATCTTTTTCTTAAACTTGTTATAGGCGCGTATTAGTGCCGCAATATATACGTGCAATGCTTTTAATTCGATTTTTTTTTACTGAGATCGAAGCAAAATTTTCATGCTTCTACGTCATAGTGAATCGGAATAACTTAAAATGAGAAAGTTTTAAAGTAAAACCTAAACAAATTTAAGTGCGTGCAACCGGCAATAGTGGGACCATTATGAATGACTGAGTTGTTGATGTTTGCACCCTTAATTAGCATTCTCTTGGCTCGACAATGCAAGCCGTTCTACCCTATTAATTTCCAGTTTTTTCATTATTTTTTCATGCAATGCAAAGTTATGAGAACATTGACTGTAATACAGCGATAGTCAACATGCAAATCATGTAAATGATAGATACAAATTGATAAAGAGTTGTAAACTAAAAACTAAACTATGAATTGGACGTTGCTAGAGCCAGTCCAAGTCAAGGGCGGCCTGCATCCGCTGCGGCGGCATGGCCGGACTTATGAAAATCTCGCCTCATTCGGATCTAGATCCCATTGAATGTACACTATGGTTACAACTCTGACAGTCTTAGTGAGTTATTACATTGTTGCATATAATGATAAATGTTAACTTTTATTTATTTGAATGTTGGTATTTGCGTCGAGATAGAAGCTGGTCTCTAATATAATCATATAGTGGATTTCAGTGGAACTCTGGCAATATCTACAATCATTGATCGTGCTTGGATATCAAATCAGTGGTTACTCCTAAAAATACACTATGACAGATTCTCGTGGAATCTCTCTAGCGTTATCTCTAAAAACGTTCACATTTTAAATGTTTTAATAGATATTACAAATCAAAACTCATTTCTAAAAACCGCCTCCTATACAACTGCTTCCTCCCCGTGTAGTGAATCCACCCCTGAATTTAGCGGCTTTTGCCCATTTAATTATTATGACCAAATTTCAGAGTTCGTTTTCAATTATAACACAAAACGGCTACAACTAAATATGTTATAATGATAATTTGCATTTGAAGCTAGACGTTCCTGTGCTCGCTCTTTACTTTTGACGCAGTTCCGCGAGCAGTTTCCTCTGTTCACTTTGTTTTGACAGTAACTCAAAGAACTATTGAAAAAGAGCTACGATAGGCTATCAAATAAATCTAGAGATCCGATATTACTTAGAGAGGCAAGATTATGCTAAAACGACGCCGAGTAGTGTGCCCTGATATTATTGGCGCTAATTCTTAATTGGCCAGCAGGCAAAAGTCAAACTTTTTTTTGTAGCGACTCTAATATCTAATATCCAAATAATTAAGTTCGACTGTTGTTGGAATCAAACCATTAGGCTCGGCCATGAGAAATCCATCATCATCATCATCATCATCATCATCATCATGACTGTCGTCGTTTGTAACTAAACAAATGTCTGAACCGAGGCTCACATAGTTCTGATCCTGTGTGCGATAAATTTCGTTTGCAGTCAAAACAATCTTATGGACATTTGCTTGTTTAACAAGAACATTTAACAAGAAAAATTGAACTGAGTAACGTTATTCGATGTTCAGATCTTTTAGTCAAAAACCTTTTGAAGCTTATTTATTTGACTATATTTCCTTCTGTTTTCTTTATGCCATATTTTCAGTCTTGCAGCACGTTTTTTTTAATGGTATCGAAACAGATAAATAGAAAAACCAGAGGGCACCACTGACAGTACGTCCGACTTTAACCAAAGGTTTAACCGTTATTTCAATTTTTTGTCTGTCATTCATTTTCCGCAAGTCCAATCCTACGTTCCTCACTTTTTTCACCACGTGACTTTCCTTGGCGACGCGCTGATTCCTTGTTGATTGTCAGCTGCGGAGAGTTAAAGATTGCTCTTTTTGGTAGCGAATCTTGCGATTAGAGTTTCACTAATTTGCTTACAATGTGGACAGGAGAAAACACTTGATGCCAGCCGTCACTTCATCACCACAAGCCGCACAGACGGCGAGCAAACTTACCTATGCGTTTGCACCTTCGCCTCTGAAAGCCCCAAATAACATTCCATCGCTGCCCGCCATTCCTCCGCAAATCGGTTCGATATCCAGGACATATCGATCAAGAATTCCAGCTAAATTAGCCACCGTTAGCCTGGTTGGAAGGTGAGTTTCTTTGAATTTCGTGTGATTTTTTACAAAGAGGCATGCTGTCCGTTTTCATTTTGTTACAGTTATGTACATGAAAGATAAAAACTCAACGAACTTTCTATAAGCTCACAAATGATACACAGTTCGTTGAATACAAGTCTTCACACAAGTCTTATTACTTATAATAACCTCTAATTTTGCCATTTATAGGAGAGATCGTTCTAAAAATGCTCCAAGTGTCTTTTTCGAAGAAAAGCAAGGTGAAACTTTTGCAAGTAAGTCTCCTGTTTAACCTTTCCAATGTGCTAGTATCTATTAGTATTAAAAACAGACCATGTTAGTTAAAATATATAAATTCGTTAAACACTTGTACAGACTCTTTTGACCACATGCGAACGTGTAATATTTAACTGACATGGTCAGTTTTAAAGCTTTTTAACTTAGCTGTGGGCATGTAAACTTAAGTTTGTGTAATTTTTTATTTAGTCTATTACAATGTATGAACTGAATGAAATTATTAATTAATTCTTTGTACGAGTGTTTAAGTATGAGATCATGGGATAATTATTGGAATATAATCAGTGGCAGATTCAGGTAATCAACCAAGTGGGGCATCACTCATCAAGACCCCAAGAATTAAAAGCTAAGAGGAGGCCCAACCTCAAAAATAACGTTTCTCAGCCCTGCGGGCTTCAGCATGGCCTAAAAATAAGGAGGGTGCCTGCGCTACTTCAGGCCCTCTGGTAGATCTGCCTATGATCATATAATCTCTGTGCTGGTAAAAGTGGAAGTGTGTGGAAAAATTTATTGTCATGCACTGTAGGTGTGGTTTTAGATTTCTCTGTACCTATATATGCCAGGAAAAAACATATGGCATGAATATTCCTTGTCAGCTGTGTTGAACAACTCATACTAACTGAATCAACTTAAATCAAAGTGGCATGTATCAAAATGACTTTGTATTTCCAAATTCCAGTTCGTCCAGGAATCAGGTAGACGAAGAACCACTTTCTGGATGTGCTACCTCCAAATTATTATTTATTTTATTTATGTTAATTATTTATGTATGAAAACAATCAGTATCAGAAGCATTACTGGATACAATTTTCAAAGTACTGTGTGTCAGGCAGGGATACACCTTCTTCAAGTTCAGGATTATTTTATTTTATATAATACAGTGATAATGTAGATGGATATTTCGCCATAGACTGTTGAATGATGTTTGATTTGTTATGATTGCAAACTTTTCCAGGCCTAGAGGAGTGCATGCAGTCACGGCCACCATTACAACTTGACTTAACTGGTCCAAAGCCAACAACTTATGACCCCCCAACAACCCTACCATGGGAAACATCTTCACCAAGTTACACGATGCGACCCAAGACTCAGCCAGAGAGAGGTAATTCTACGACAGTTCATACGCTGTGTGACAAATATGGGGAGCAAGGGATGGCGCAGTGGTGGGAGCACTCGCCTCCCATCAATGTGGCCCGGGCTCAAATCCTGGTGTTGACACCATATGTGGGTTGAGTTTGTTGTTGTAGGCCTGTGCTCTAGCAGAGCCCTGTGGCCCCTGGTGCCCAACTTTTGCTCCTGGACAACTAGAAAATCTCATATTTTTCATACAAATCATATCCTGGGCACCCTAGTTTTTACAGGTTCATAGCACTGGGCACCCTTCCATTTTCCTCAGAGCACAGCCTTGTGTTGGTTCTCTCCTTTTCTCTGAGATGTTTTTATTGCCGTTTTCCCCTCTCCTCAAAAAACCTACATTTTTAAATTCCAATTTGACCAGGAATGGTAGACAAAGAACCACTATCTGGGTGTGTTACCTCTAAATTGTTGTTATGATTATGATGATGATTATTATTATTAACTTTTTTTACCCATGCTCTGGTTTCATTTTACACATTCTTAAAGTACAAAAACATACCATAAAATTCTGAAAATAAGCCCCGGGGCTTATATTTTTCAAAGGCCCTTTTTGAGGGGCTTATTTTTGGAGGGGCCTATATTCGGAGGGGCTGATCTACAGAGGGAAATTTGCATCTCAAAATCGATTGGGCTAGCCTTATAGTTGGACGTAAATCTACCATTTTTGCTTTGTTTTACTTTGTATATGAGGGCAGTTTTCCAATTTCAAGCCCCCAGGGCGCTTATATTTGGAGGGGCAATTTACCAGAGAGTTTTTTATGTTACCGGTTTGAGGGGCTTATACATGGAGGGGCTTATTTTCGGAATTTTACAGTGTTTTAAATCTATTCTAAATATCTACGAATACAAAAGTGAACGAAAAATTTTTTTTTACAGAAATATCGCTTCCCATTCATAAAATACTTAGAATACACTCTAATGTTTCAATGCTAACCCAAAATGTTAAGCAACATAGCTACAGTTGAACCTCTCTACAACAGCCACCGTGGGAACGGAAGAAATTGGCCATTGTAAAAGATGGCTGTTGTAGACAGTTTTTAAACAAGGTTCAATGTATGGATTTTTTGTCCACCGGAACGAAAAAAGGTGGCGGTTGTCGAGAGGTGACCATTGTAGAGAGGTGGTGGTTAGCACTTTTTTGAAAGCATTTCACCATAGAGAGAATGAATCTGCTGCTCATGTCTTATTTATTGAAGATGAATTTGTCTTAAGTTTCTTTTTGACATGGCAGTCCCTTGAGAGTTGAGCAATAACCAATGAGATTCTGAGTTTAGTTTTCTCATGGTGAGGACTCAGCTAGAAATACATGTATTGACTCAGCAAATTATAAGTAATAGCAATTACTTGCCCACAGTTTTTTTACAAAGCTTACAATGTATTTCTTTGCAGACCAAGGTGGTGACAGAGTTGCTTGGAGCAAACAGTGGATTGCCAGTCCAGATATCTGGACATACAGAGCTAACTTTGATAGTCGGGTAAGAACTTTTCCAAGAACAGTATTATTCGCCTTTCATTTATTTTGATGATCCTTATTCTATGATAAGCTTTGTTACAATGCTGTCATCATTTTTCAACCACAGGAGTGGAGGGGACATTCATCAAGATTTCTTCCCAAACACTATGATTTGTCATCGCTTTACTCTTTACACGTAGATTGTATTACTTTATAGTTCTGTGCTACAAGTCTGTTGTTAGTTTAATGTTTGTAGAGGCTTTTGCAAGAGCAAATTATAATCCATCTTGTGAAATTACACAAGCCGTTTCAACAAATATACTTTGATGGTTATTCTTGTTCAAAGAGCAATTGGTTTAAACCGAATGTCTTTACTTTAACATGAAATTTTGACAAACAATTGTCTTTAAAGTCATTTAGGGCTGTTAGAGGCTAAAAGCACTGCAACATTTATGGTTTCTGTTTTTCAGATTTTATTAGTACACATAAATTCCATCAGTTCATAAAAGGAAATTAATTATGTGGCTGTAAAGGTGATCTGTCCTGATAATTATTTGTTTTTGAGGGTGTTTTCAATTAATTTGTTAATTTTGTAGTCTCTTTGTTGTTAACAGTACACGTGGCCATCACCAGCTCATTACTCATCAAGACCCACTGTTGGAAGTCCTCAGTTCCTATTAAGCCAGTCGCCATCACACACATTTGGCAAAAGAAGAGAATTCTCAATCAGCAAGAAAGGTGAAACATCACTATGACATTACCAGTCTTCATAGCTAATAACATCATGGCTTAACGGACAGACGACCAATAACATTGTGACTTAATTGACCAATCAGGTCAATAACCAGAGTAGCCTGCTGCTGACGTTTTCTCCCAGAGAAGCCCAATGTCAAACTTCAACAAAAATTTTCAAAGTTGTGCTTTTTTATTCTTTTACTTTGTAAAATGCAAAACACAGCCCTATTGGCTCTCTTGGCATGTTTACCTTTACTGTCACTTGTACTTGATACAGTGTAATCTTTCTCCTTTATTCCATAGGTTCAGAAGATGAACCCGCCCCAAACCAGTATGATTACAAGAAAGGCAAAGATCAGTCAATGAGAAGATCACCCTCATATACCATTCAACAAGGCAGGAGGGGTGGTACTGTGTTTTGGATGGCTAGAGGTTAGTTTACTTACTGTGCAAAACTCATTTTTTTATCATGTACAGTATCTGTGAGTGGGTTAAGTCCAGCTGCTGAATGACTTCATATAGCATGTTACAGTGGAACCACAATATAATGAACCCAGGGTTGTCACTAAGATTTCAAGTTGCCAGGTAAATACAACAAGTAGGCGGGGAATCAAATGGCTAGGGATTTCTTTTGGTTCTATTTTTCTTCTATTTTCCAATAAAAGTAGCCGGGGAAAATCCTCGGCCCCCAGCTCTTAATGACAACCCTGTGAACCTCTATGTAACTTAAGTCTGCGGCAAAACAAACGATTTTCTTTACCCCAGTAATAGTAAAACACATGGAAAAGAACCGTAATACAGTGTATAACAAACCCTCATAAACAGAAAACATTATGCTAGCCCCTTGGCCCTACGTTGGGACGGACCATTAGAACAATTATGGGTGTGGGGGTGGGGAATTTTCTAGCCGCCTGAATTTTTTTTCATTATGATTTTCCTTGCATTAATGTTTTTAGGGCTAATTGGCGTGCATGATTTTTTTCCATGTAATTTTTCCTTGTGCAAACATTTTTTTTGGTTCTTCAACCCCCTCTCTATAAGTTTTCTAATGGTCTATCCCTTACATCAAGGATCCACTGTTAACTAGACCTCCAGCGGTCATCCTTCTTTCCTCTGAGCCGTGCGCAGCGAGCGAAAAATTAAATTTTTGCAATTATTAATGGCAAAAGGAGAAAATGCATGTACAGTCTCGCAGTCTATCTCTTAACTTATTTTTTGTATCATTCACATAATTATCCTCCCCCTAGACCAAAGAACCTTGGTGTGCAAGGGTAATGAGTTAAGGGAATGGGGCTAAAAATCGCAAGGAGGTGGCATTCTTCCTCAGCCAATATTCCCATTTTTCCCCATCAAGGCGCCTGCTACCAAGCTACACTGTTGGCGTCTGGCTGGTCTAAATTAATGGTAGATAGATGCACAAATAGACAGACGCAATCTGGTAGGGCTGTCTGACAACAATGGATCTGTCTGATCTTAGAGGCCAAGAGTTGGAGGTGGGGGTAGATGTATGGGAGGGTTGTCTCTTTTATAAGCCACAGGGGGGTGTACATGTAATACAAGACGTGCACCACCCCACAGGGTATGCATATTGATTTTGAGCTGTTTTTGTGTAGTACATGTATCGTTTCCCTGGTTTGAGATACATGTACATGTAAAATTAATGTTCTTAAATTCGTATCATTTTGTAGGTAAGTTTATCTATTAACTTACACAGCTTTGTTATAACTTTCAACAGAGCCCGTGCCAGGTCCAGGGTCGTATAATCCACGGGTGTATCGCACAAGCAGCAAGCGCTGTGCTCCTTCCTTCTCACTGTCAAGGTCACCCAGAGAGATAGGCATCACAAGGAACTGCACATTCTAAAGTAACAATCATGATCTCCAAGTCGTGGACATAAAGCTGTGTGAACTCAGTTCAGACTACATTTGAGGGTTTTCCTAGATATCGAAGACAACGTAAAGAGAATGTAACTACTCCGAGAGTGTTGTGATCTATTGTGGAGCCAGGTTAAAACTGCATCTGTTTACCAACCGATTGAATTGTCAGGGATGTTTTGCGGGGAAGTTTGTCACGCAATCCTTTGCCATACAAGAGATGTAGATTTGTTTGTTAGAGGTTGTAAAAGTTTTATTTTTTAACAAGAGGTTAATGAACTTTGTTTAGATAAAGTGTGTACAAATATTTATGTAATATTTTATATATCTTGAATATTATGTAGGCTTTTACTTGTAAAGTGTGAGAAGGCGAAATTAGAAGAAAATTGAATAAAAGTTTTATCATATTAAGGCCTGAAAGTTGGCATTTGTTTGATGAATACCCACTGGTTTCCACCTTTTACCGCTGTTCTGTTCATAGCTCTTGATGCATGAACCTCTTTGAAATTACTTTTACATACGTACGTATAAAATGTTTAAAAATTAGGATGTTCAGTTTAGACAGTTTAAATATGAAGTTATTGTTGCATTTTGATTATTGTTCCAAGCGTTTTTTTGCTGCCTTAGCTCTTCTACTCTCTATTTAGCCGGGTGTTAAGTTTTTTTTTTCAGTTTTTGTGTTTACGATGCAGTTTCGCTCAGGTGGAAAAAGTCGGTCCTTTAGCTATGTCTGCCACTGTTCCCATAACAACAGTAAGCTTGGCTTCTCTCTGCCCGTTACAGTCCAGTAAACATAAACAAACGTTTAATTGTGTACCAAAAAAATATCCGTTGAAACCCTGAGAAGTGACGCGTAAATTCCAATTAAATATAGGGCGTCATAACAATACAATCATTCCAAACTCTAGGACACTAGTCGAAAAAAAGTACAATTTTACGGTATTACGTACTCTTAAGTATGAACAACGAATACAGTAAGTAGCAATGACTATAAATCTCCTTTTAAAAAGATTAGTTCCTTTAAGTCGAAAGCGCTAAATCGCCTAAAAATTCGTGACGTTATACAACCCGGGGTTACTAAAGGTCATGATAATTTCATATCGTATTTACAGCTGTTGTCTGCGGAAACAACGAGCCCTGATTTTGAATGTAGCGTCCTTTCATTGGGCATAAACTGCAGTTTGTTTACGCAGGGTCATTCCGTTTGAAATTTGCAGGATTGAAATAACCGGAGTTACGAGGAATCAAGGCATCTTGCTCAAGAAACATAATCAAGTGTCTTTTTGAAGCTCCAGAAGTATCCCTTGCAGTGGAGATGGGTTGACCGTTGAAGTATTGTTTCGATCGTAGCTGAGAGCGCTTTTTGGCTGTTGGCTCATTCCGATACACAGATCGCGTGGGACTGAATTAGGCTGTTGCGTTCCAGTGAAAGATGTCTATGAAGAACCGAAATATACTAAATAGAGTTTTTTAGGTAAGTTTTGACTTTTTTCTTTGGCAAGCAGGATTTCTGTGTATAAACCGCTTTTTGAATTGTTGTCACGTTAGATGTTGTTGATCCGATGTAAAAGCAATTGAAATCCTAGGAGCTCCCAGGGGCACGAAGAACTTTGTGGTGCACTGGGTATTATTTTGGCTATTTTGATACATAACAGTTCACCCTATTTGTAATTTACTTATAAATACTCAGTTTGCTCCCCCCGTACTTCCCAAAATTTTTTACGAGGTTGTTTTACTTGCATGCTCTTTTAACAAAATGATACGTTTTAAAAATATTGTTATGCATTAATTTGCTTATTTAAAATTCAACAGTGACAGGTTTCTGTTTTTGAGTTATCTGTTTTAAAACTTAAAAAATGGACACAGGTCGTGTTTATAGTTAGGAACTTAAATTTGTTAACGGACATTTGCTCCATAAAATAAGTATCGTTATTATTTGAGTTATACTTGATTACAAAGCATAGTATGGGCAAAAAGAATTTTCTCTTAGAAAAACTTCTATTAATTTTTTTTGTGAGTAGCCGCATTATCCCACCCTGTTATTTTACTCTTCACCGCAGCCTGTTGACTAACTGAGTTCTTTTCATTTTTCCACCTGGCCAACCCCATATTTTAAATATTGGCCCCAATATTCTTTCCGTGCAGCAAAATGATTCGTTATCCGTCGAGTAGTTTGGAATTACTTTCCTAAACCGAAAATGCCAAAAAAAAAAACTTATGGGAAAAACACCCAGATTATAATCTCTTTTGGCAGGGAAAACGGGTTAGAACCAAACTTTTTGCGATTACACAAGATAGCAAGTTTTTCTGATCCGACAGTAGTTTCTCCCAACCCCCATCTGATGAAAACATTTTTACCGGGTCACTTCGCTAAGAATTTGGTTCTTTTGGTTTGTTTTTCTTCTGAGAGTTTGTTTGGGAAAATTGGGCCCAATTCCAACAATAAATGGCACCACGAAAATCGTTTCTTCAGTTGCAATGGGCCTGTATGACTTGCGTATTGCCGTAAACTTCCGAAAGTAGCGATGAATTTTCCGAAAAGAACTATCTTACGAAAGTGGCGATGATAAAGGTATCTTCCCAGTTTCAGCCTTTTTCAGTCAGAAGAACGTACATGATAGATATAAAACTGAAGTGACTTTTATTTTTAATGACTATTACCGACTATAATGATATCTGAGGGTTTTTTTTTTTCAAAAATCAATAATATAACATATTTTCAGAAAGTATTCGTGTCGTCTCTGAATATTCGTTGCATACGGAGAATGCGAATAACGATAAAACTATTGATTTTTTTCCACATCTTCAGTGATGGGGTCTAACCATCCTAAATTGAAATATCATAGATTGTTATGTTATACTACTGATATCAACTTTTTACGTCAAGTAACAAAATTTGGGTCTTCCACATATGTTGCGATTTTATTATCTGCAAACAGTCTATATCTTCCAAAAATCAAGGTTGAAACTATAAACAATTTGTTTGAGAATCGCCTTATAAAGGTAAACCCAGACATTTTAGCTACGGCGGAAGGTCCGCAGGAAAAAAGAAGCCATTTAAAGGTTTACCTCTGGGTTAGAAGCGAAAAAATATTTTACAATTGCGACTGCATCCTGTCTATTGCCAGTAACTCTGGATTTCGAATTAGGGATTTTCATTGCTCGTTACTTTTGTTAAATTTTTTTGTTTAATTCTTTTTATTTTACCTGTGGTAGCTTTTCGTCAAGTAACAAAATTTGGGTCTTTCACATATGTTTCGATTTTAGGCTTCAATTTTATGATTTTAGTGGCCGGAAGTAGGTTAGGGAGGGGAAAGGCTCTCCGGATGCTCTACTTCGCTCGCTGGCAGGACGTGATAACGCTGAGATATTTGCACACGCAAACCATTCTTTTCCTGCAATTCCCTGAAATTTTAAAATGATATAAAGGGAAAATTTCGGCACAAGGAAACTATACTCGAGTAAGTGTGAAATGCAACGTTGATGTCCTAAGAAAGAGGATGGAAGGAAGTTGCAGCTGGAGCGGAGCGTTTTCAAATGTTAACTGCGGCATATCGAGTAACGGCCAGTAATTCTGATAAGGTTGAGGGAAATACTCGTAACGGACAAAAAAGGATTGAGAAGATTTGAAGGATTAAAAAGGATTAAGCTGATTAAAATCATGGCGCTGTCCCTGGGCGGAACTAAGATTTGATGGGGTTAAGACGGGTAGGGGGGAGTTCACTTGTAGCTGACCTGAACAACGGTATTTGAGGTAAGAAGATTGAAAATGTGTTTCGGGTAAGAGGAAGTTTACGGGAACTCGAGGACCCCCACCCCCAACCCCCTGAAAGGACGTCCACCCTGCCTAGCCTCCTATAGATGTCGTACCCGTAAAAGAACCGCTTCAAGTCACACGCGCGAAATGCGTGACCTGTAATTCTGAGAATTCTGAATCATGCAATATTTTGAGACCAGGTCACGAGTTGTAAAAGGTGCTCTAATTGTGGCATGTTCTGCCCAATCCTGCACGCTTTAAACTACAAGAAAATATGCATACTCAGGCAAAAAATCTTTTTTCGCTGTGAGGAGTACTTTACCTGCTCAAGGGTTGTCCTTATGTCTAATCGAAAGAAAATCGTCATTTGCTTTTCTCTGCAGGAGCTGAAAACAAGGAAGTTTTGCCAAGGATGTCAATAGCCGCATGGATAGTAGCCTACGTACTTCTAGGCCTACTGCTTATCATAACACTCGTGTACGTTGGTGTTTTGGTTATGAGAGCATATACCATTCGAAAAGAAAATCGAATGAAAGCTTCAAACTACGGCTTCATCCTCTCGCCACCTCCGTCGGAAACTTCGGGAACCGACACACCTCCGAGTCCTAAGCGATTGGAAGCTTCGGTCAGACCCCCAAGCGAGGCTCCTTTTTCTGGTAAGATCATGTCCTTGCCGGAGTAAATATATTTTGCTCTTATTTCGCTGGCAAAATATATGTCAAAACTCATCAAAGGCCAGGAATAAATAGAAACTAAACTAGTTCTAAGGAACAAGCTCATTAAGCCTCTTTTCGGCTACCCTGTTAGCCTGCAAAAGCAGCCGCTCGTCCTCGGCGGTGAGGAGTGAAGAGGAGCGGCTGCTTTCACAGGTTACAGGAGAACCCAAAGAAGGAGGTACGTCCCCGTTCTTCTTGGGGGAGGGGGCGGATTTACAGAAGGTAATTTTTTGTCAACGCAGCAACCCTTCCCCCTTACGACCACCCCTCTTAGGCGACCACTTTGTCGTTAACTAGCCTGTCCACAGACGTTTTTTCGACGAACTTTGCGAACGCGGAGCGCGAGAACTCACACCCACCCCCTTGCGCCAGCGGTCAATAAATTCCCCCCTCGGTTTCTTTTTTTCTTTTTTTGATACGCGCACTCAACGATTTCTAAAGAAAAAATAGGGGGTCTCTTAGCAGGCTATGTCATGATAATCAAATTCTTACTGCGTTATGTACCAGACCAAGAGATTATGATCTCCTGACCAGACCAGTTTTGTTTCATTCTCTCGTTGCTTTTTTTAGTTGGTGACATGCGCGAAATTCGTATCCAGCCCCTCCTCATCAGACGCTCCATTGACTTCCCTTCACCCATGAGTCCCAGCTCTCCTAGGACACCCAATACTCCGGGATTCTTTGAGGACCTCGGAAGCCTGGATCCTAGTCTTTACACAATGGTTGCAGAGGTACGTCTAGCTGGAGTACTGTTCGAGTATTTAGTGTAGATCCAGCGTAAAACCGGTAGCAAGGAACAAACACAGTCTTATCATCCTCTGTGTGTCTAGTTGGTTCCGTCGATTTTATTTATATTTTTAATGCTTAATTTAGTCGCTACGCTATTTTTTATGACGAGTAAAACTTGAAAACACTGCCAGTGCATCAGTGCATGGGGCGCTCGGGGGAGAAGGGAAAGAAACGCCTGCAATAACGCTGTTGTTTTACCCTTTCCTCCCCTCGTTTAGAGACCAGCATCTGCGCTTAAAAAAAAACCAAACAAACAAACAGCGCAAACACAATAGCATTCTTGTTCTTATTTCCTCCTTTTGCTTCCCCTACAAACGCCTTCTACGCATGCACTCCAGTGCCTGAGTTGCTAAATTCAACAATGACATAAATATAGCAAGCTTAGTATGAAAGTAAAAGCCAAGTTGCTTTAGTACCCTTCTTTTACAAATTGACATTTAAAGACCTGATTTTATACAGGAGGATCAAGAGCCTCCTACTCCTGGAGCCCCAGATGGCCGCTCTTCGCCGTACAATCTTGGTCAAGCTCATTTTATAGTTAAGTTTGATCAGCATCGCTCAGTGCTGACTGTAAGACTAGTCAAGGCACTAAACCTGTCTCCAATGGAAAAAGAATGGAGCAAACCATGTAATCCGTATGTTATAGTACAACTTCTTCCTGATTACCGGCACCAGTTGCAGTCCAATGTGCATACGAAAACCACAAACCCTCGCTTCGATGAAACGTTTGAATTTGAGGTAAGATTGAGGCCTAACCTGCCTAGCCTATAAACAGGCTTTGTTTTCTTTTTCTTTTTAAAAATCGACGAGCACGCGAACGAGAAAGAAATTTTCTCCTTTCCCTACTCCACCCCTTGCGCTAGCGGTCAGTAAATCCCCCGCGGTTTTTATTTTCGTACGCGGACTCGACGATCTCTAAAGAAGAAATAGATGGTCTGTGAACAGGATATCTCCTGCCCATGAGGCCCCTTTGCGGCCGGACCTTAACCCCGTCGCTGTAGCACGGACCATCTAATAAATGTACTGTTGAACCTCTTCATAACGGCCACCATGGGGACAGAAGAAAGTGGCCGTTGTAGAGAGGTTTAAACAAGAGTCAGTGTATGGACTGTCCGCCAAACAAAGTGTCCGTTGTAGAGAGTTGGCAGTTAGCGGATGTACGACTGTATTGCTACTTCTCCTTGTCGGAAATCTAGTCCATTGCAGACATCCCAGGCAGTATGTCGTTGTTATCGTTACTACGGATGGCTTTGCAGATCTGGCCCCGCCGTTAGTTTTCGCTGAGGGCTTTTCTTGGGTCACTGTTAAAATTCTCGCCGTGGCATCATATTCTGGGTTAATACGTTACCATTAAACAAGTCGCTGCCATAACCTGTTATTCTGGCGGGTTACAAGGAAACGTGGAAGCTATCCTTTATGCGCCACAGGGCGAGGAAGACGAAAGGACCTATTATGATGATGATAATATTCCAATAAGATTTTTAGGGCTGTTTCAGAGGTCAAACTACATACTCGTTATTGGCTGAGAAGGCACTCGTTTCTCCTAATGAGAATTGACTGAAAATAATGTCCGTCTTAAGATTTATAGAGGCAGAGATTGTTTGAAGTTTTGTTCTCGGCAGTTTGGAACCCAGATGTGTTACGAAAAGGACTTTCGACTATGCCAAGCCCGCACTAGTTTCGCCCGCCATTTTTAACAAACTATTGATAATCTTTTTTGTAACAAAACATAGCATTCAATAATCTCACTTTCTTTTTACTTTTTAAAAAGTTATCGTACAAGGAACTCCAACTTCAAACGCTATGGCTTACGTTTCTCTCATTTGATTCGTCGTCGCGTCACGAGGTGATTGGACAAGTGGTTTTACCATTAGCGGACTTGGATCTAGCCAATGAAAATGTCTTTAGAACTGATATCAGACCGAGTCTTAAGGTAAGTCTTGTCTTTTTAGTTTTGATATTTCGAGACCCTCTCTAAACTAATAAATATTGTTTTATCCGGACGCAATGTTTCAGAGTTTAAGAACGCGAAAAACATGATGTGGACTCAAATTTTGCTTCCTGAATTGAAACCACCATAGGACCAAATTAGTTCACACACATTGTGCTTTTCAAAAAGGAAAAACTTTCTTCCCCCACTCTTCCTAGCCAATAATGTGCTGCGGCTCAAAAAAAAACAACAACAACAAAAAACAACAAAAGAAAACAACAACAACAACAAGAACAAAAACAGGCAAACTTTGCATGGGGGAGGGGTAAGAGAATTTTTGTTTTTCCGCGAATACCTAATTAAACTACAGCTTCCTAACAAATTTTACGCTGATTCTAGGCAGAAACAAACTTGCTTCTAGGAGGGAGATTTTCCTCTAAAATACTGTTTCCGTAAAAGCGTTTTCTAGCTTGACCTAGTTAACGGTTATTGCTCTTGTTTCTACAGAAACAAGTGTCTTTGGGCGAAATGATGGTGTCGCTTGGCTATCTTAAGTCTGCAGAGAGGCTAACTGTGGTCGTTATCAAGGCTCGGAATCTACCGTCAGTTAATATAAAGGGAACAGGTTAGTATTGTGTGATCGTTATGGAAGACTCCTTATGTTGAGCCGTAGGGAGACACTGCAGCAGACTTCCTTTGTTGGGGACCCCGGTAAGTGCTGCACGCACACACTGGCCGAGTGTAACTATAGTTACAATTTTTACTATGATAAAAGAATAAATGATTAGTGATTCCTTGTTCAACTAGTCTACGTAGAAGAGAGAGACACGCGAAGGGAGACTCCCCTCGCGGGTGTCCCTCGCGCGCCCTGTTCTTTCTTGCGCCCATTCCAAGCGCCTGCCACGCAGGCTATGGCTCAACACTAAAGAATGTATTTCTTCTCTCTTAGATTCGTACGTCAAAGTCTACCTACTGGTCGCAGGAAAACGCGCGAAAAAGAAAAAGACGTCAGTCAGGAAAGGGACACTTAATCCTGTATTTAACGAAGCCGTGTCATTTGATATAGCAATGGACGCTTTAAACTCTGTTGATCTGCTATTGTCGGTCATGCATGAAAACGAGATAATTGGCTGTGTTCCAATTGGTGCCCATTCCACTGGCAAGGAGCTGGACCACTGGAGGGAGGTTCGGACTGCTAATAAACCTATTGCGCACTGGCATTCGCTACAAGATCCCAAAAAATTCTACTAGGGAGGTAGCCTGCGTAGTAAGCGTTTCCGTTCAAGTTCGTCGATGAAGTTGGGACGAGAACGAAAAAGAGGAATGAATGGGGAAGGGAGGGGACAAAAGGAAAGTTTCTTCTTTTCCTCTCCCCCTCCCCCTTCTTTTATTATTTTTTACTTTCGCTCCAACTTTTGCGCAATAACTCGATCGGAAAAGCTTGCTACGCAGGCTACTAGGGAGGAGAGCGAACTTGACCTTATCCGTATGGATTGAAGCTATTGTGGCATTCCTTACATATGTCAGTGGTTCAATGTTTGTTTTCCCTTGTTTTCGAGTATGTGAATGAACGAAAGAGAATTAAGCAAAGGAAAAGATGAATTTTTTACAAGAATGAAATTTTAACCAAATGGTGCGTTGATCGCAACTTCAAGGTTCACGAATGTCACAGAGATCGAGTGTTTTTTTTCAAGCAAGAAAACAGTGGAACCTATTACTGGGGAAAGAGCTGTACTTAAATTCCAATCAGACAAACAACGATGCCTCCACGAGTTTCAAATGAGTGCATGGATCGACCAGAGAGTTTGAGGCGTTCTGGTTATAGTGCTCAACAGTTATTGGAAGCCTCAGGACGAGCTAGAGTTAACCGACTACTGGTGGAGAATGATTTAAACACACTTATTGGCTGGTATGAAAATTTCAGCAGTGTGAAGGTCGTTGAAACTACAACTGAAACTACACAGTCATCAATCAATGACAGCTTCTCTTACGCGCTACCATTCTTGGCCCTAACTAAAAGGGAACGGCTCATGTGTGACTTTAGTTTAGGCCCGAACACAGGGTGAAACATTCCTCGTCGTCTGCTAAACAGAACCATGAACCTCTAGAATTGTTGCGTGCGAAACATTATTGCAGAATGTGAACGTAGAGTCCCTTTTCGGGGTAGCCAAGTTAGGCGCAGTAAGTTAATCTTGTCCGCCCATCTGTAAAATTTCCTTGCAATGGGGCAGCGCAACTTGCAGTCCTCATCCAGTCCATTTATCTGCGAGCAAGCTGTCAATTTGGGAGAGTCGCGAGAAGTCACGCTAGAGCCGCACGCGATAGCAGACGCGAGAAGGCGCGCGACGGGATAGGAGACGCGAGTCCCTCGAGGCTTCACGGCTTGCTTCCGGCTTTCTACTTGGCAAGAGCTTGCTCGCAGGCTAGCAAGAAGCTAGCATTGTTTGTCGCTGGTCAATTGCCGCTGAGCGAATGTTACGCGTAATAACGCACGTAACAATGTACACGTACCTAATCACTCAAGTCAATGGAAACATGCTGGTTACAATTTTACTGGTAATGTTTCTCCGTGTGTACGAGTCTCAGTGCAAATCAGTCTATGACTATGGAAACATTTCACCATTAAGAGGTTCAAGAAAATGGTTGGAGAAAGCGTATTCGTGGAAAGCCGTATTTAATTATCAATTCTCTCTTAATTTTAACATAAATAGTTTTAAATTTAAACATTTTAAGGAGGAAATGGAAAAGTTAAAGGGAAAAAATGGAGAACTACTTTTAGTTTTAGTAGATACTACCCAGAACGCAACAGAGTGTTTTTAGACGTTGTCAAATCGAATTTCAGTTAAGGTTTACTCGATTATACAGAATGCTGTTTATGTGTGTATTTTTTCAATACGTTCCTAAAGAATCATTTAAGTATTTTTCAATTTATTTTCAAAGGAACCTTACTAAATTTGTAATAAAATTACACGAAAGGAAAACCACTGCGTTGCTGTGCTCATGGTTTTTTGAACGGAATTTCCCTCCGTGGATAAGCCCCTATATAAGCCCCTGGCTATTGTTTAAGCCCCGGGCTTATTTTCGGAATTTTACGGTATTTGCCATCTGTGAAGGGTTATTGTTTTTTCCCGGTTAATTATCTTGCTCCAAGCAATTTAAGCCTCAAGGAAAGGCAACAACAACAACAATATGCAATCACAACAACAACAAAGCAAAAAACAAAACAAAACCAAACAAACAAACAAACCGTGGAAAAAACAGAAACAGCAAAGACTTTCCGGTTTAATGAAATGACTATCTTAGGAATATCAACATTTGCATTTTTTTCTCAGAAACTGACCAATTGGATGTCTGGACTATAGGGAAACCGAGAGTAAATCAGAGTTTGGCCAGAATAGGGTATTTTCCCAGGAAACTGATTTTGTCTGGACTATAGCAGGTGCACCGCAGGTGCACCGCGGGTGTCACTAAGGGTCCTGCAGCTTGGTATCTCAATCCTATAAACCGATCCGCCGCAACTGCAATTCAAGCTAGCGTCCAGCTGTGTGGTGTGAGATTGGACGTTCAGTTTTGCTTCGGTGCTAGGGAAACCGGAAGTGCCACTTAAATATATAAATATATATAAAAAATCGGCAAGTTTAAATTTACGCAACTCAGACTAAAAGCAAGAGCCATGATGGGACATGATGGCTCTTGTTAAAAGCTACTCTAGGATATGGGGGGGTGGGGGGGGGTGAGGAATGGGGAGTTTAGTCTAGTATAGGGTAGCAAATTTCAGCTGAACTAGCTCTGGTATATAGGTTCCGGCATCGCAGCGGTACATCCCCACCCCAAAATTTCTAAAGTACCGCCTCCCGGGACCACAAGTTTATTAACTTGATTCAGGAATTCCCTCAGATTGATTACATTAGTGATAACGTAAGAAGGTTTAGGCAAGCCTCCGTTTTGTGCCCCTCAAGGACTGGGGAGAGCTGTTGGAAAAGTAAACCCCCTTTACTTTTTTGTTCGATCGTTCGGTGTGTCAGTGAGTGGAGGGGTAGGGTGGGGAGCTTATTTGGTTTGCCCGCAAAGCCTACTGGGACAGTTCTTTGAGCCCCTCACTTGTAAACCACTTGTGGTTCTCTGCAAACGTGACCCCTAAACTTCACACGCACAAAAGGTGTCGCAAATTAAGGACTCATTTAAAAGTACCATGAAAGCTATCGTAGTCCACAAACCTGGAGATTCTTCTGAGATGAAATACGAAGAAATTCCCATTCCTGAACCTGGAGAGAGAGAGGTGAGTGCTATAGTACCGTCACGCGTATGGCGATGGGAGGGAGGCGTGGAGGGATCTCTGATTTTGCAGGTACACCGCGGGTGTCACTAAGGGTCCTGCAGCTTGTTATCTCAATCCTATAAAGCCGCAACCACATTTTCAACGAGGAAGTTCAAGCTAGCGTCCGGCCGAGTGGTGTGAGATGGGACGTTCAGCTTTGCTTCAGTTCTATAAATTTTAGACCACAAATGACTTCAGATTAAAATTAGCTCAAAAATTGTTTACTGGACTATACTCGTATCGTTTCATGGAAAACGTCCAAAACTGTCCTGCGGAGATTTCTTTGAGGCAAAATTACAATTGTCAATAACTTTGCCAACTTTGTGGAAGTGAGCTCCTCCTAACATTTTGCAGCCACAGGTTACCGTTGATGAAGCCGAAGCCATTTAAAATGTGCACGTATAAATAATTATGCATCCTACTAATGAAGATTAACTACATTAAAATATTTGCAGGGGCAACAATAATTATATTATAGTCTGCCCCCATTTCATTAACTTTACTTTTTGTGCGATTTTATAACTCTTTGAAATTCAATAACTTAGAAAATAACAGCCCTCAAATACCCTAGTACAAGATTGCTGGGCATCACATCATCCGGGGCGTGGGGGGTGGGGGGGTACTCAACAAAGTTTTATTTAGGGAGGCTCCCCATCGAAGTCCAATTACTTCCCCTTTTATATGAGGCAGGGAACAGATTTTTGACCTTGCTGTTACCAACCAAAAATATGATTTTGATTGTGCTGAGTATCCAACACCAGAATTAATTGATTGGCAGAAGAGCTGCAGAAACCTGCATTTATTTTTGTCTATTGTCTTTACAGTTAAACTACCGTAACCTGCAGGGCCACCTAGACAAAGTTGACCAATCCCAGGATTGACAAAGCTACATGCATTGGCAGCCAGTTTGCAAGCTGCCAATGTATATAGCTTTGTTGAGTACCCTCATTAAAGGGAGGCATACTGGGTCCCTCTAAGCCTGAATTTCAAATACCATTGTTTCACATTTTGAGGAGAAGGCTATATTCATGTCGGTATTTAACCAATCTTTATCTCATTTGTCACTACATCTAGTCTTATATCCCTGTTTCACTGGTTTGTCGGAATTTTACCTTTATGGGGCTTCTTTGCTATGAAAAGCAAAAGTTTGCAGAATGTTTCATTTACATCTTCTCAATAAAGTTATGACTCACTTTCTATGAATGTTTGCAAATTATGTAGACTCTGGGTTGGACTTGACATGTAGCAGTATTTTTTTGCTATGCAGCCCTTTTCTTGAAAATATTTTGTCATTTATAATAACATATTCTTTTGTTAGGCATTGGTGAAGAATCATATCTGTGGTATAAATTACCTGGATGTCTACCTAAGAGATGGGACGTTTCCAACTCCAAAAATGCCTGCTGTTGCTGGGGTGGAAGGAGCAGGAGTTGTAGAAAAGCTGGGACCTGGTGCTGTAGGTGTGGCCACTGGGGATCATGTGGCATACTTCCATGTTGGATCAGGTAACAATTAATATTGAACTTAAGTTTTCTTCAATTATAAAGTTTCCCGACTTACCAGTAATTGGCAACAAATTAAGTAGTTGAGACACTGCCTTAAAGGGAACCTCCACTTCAACAAAAAGATAACTTTAAATCACAGGAAATAACTGTTACAGTCAAGTCAATCTAAAATATTTTTAAAGAAAGCGTTTGTATCCGAAAGAAATAACTTTTAGATTCGCCTATTTTTGTGTTCAAATTTTGCGGGCGTTGCCGTCTTGAATAATTGTGACATGTTATGGTTGCCCTATTGTTATTACACAAAAGCTCTTTGTGTCAGAACAATAGAGCAACCGTAACACGTCACAATTATTGAAGATGGCGGCTCCCGCGAAATTTGAAAGTGAAAATAAGCGATTTTAAAATTCACTTTTCCTGATATAAACACTTTTTTTAAGGACAAATTTCGAACAAATTTGTTTATCAACATAATTTTATTCGATTTAAACTTATTCTGTAGTAAGAGTGGAGGTTCCCTTTAATGGGCCTCTTCAAATGACGTTTTGTCAAGTTAAAAAAAGGAGAATAAAGCTTCCTTCCCCAACCTCCCTCCATGCAATCTTGTGCCACTGTTTGAGCTACCTGTAGAAACAACAAACACCTCAACTTTGATTGGTGGAGGGGGGAGAGGTGTGGACTGTGTGTTCTCTGAAGTTACCCTATTTGAGTACAAATAATTATGTCTCAACAATTTTTTTGCTGATAGCGTAGGAATTGTTTTAAAATTTAAAGGCTTTGATCTGAACTCTTTGGAGGATATACAATTAAACACAAGAAAATTATTAGTGTTCCATCTGAGTCTAAATGCAGATCAAAAATAACGAAAAAAAAAAATGAGCGTTTGAGCTCCCCTTTCTGGCCAAGTGAATTCCATTTCTACTTGTCTTTCCCTTAATTATAATTTGCATAAAATGTAAAATAGCTAATAACTGGCTAATGTGAGAGTTGACCATTAGAGTTTTTAAGGGAGAGTTTGCTAGGCAATGTACTGTATTACTCAAAGACAATGTGAAAGTTTTGTGGACAGTTAATTCTGTTGGCTTGTGCATTTTTTTCTTGTAAACTCAGCAAGCTGACATCCTCTCAGTCTGCTAAATCCTATATCTTTGAAATTCTTTGAAATTGCAGGTAGCTATGCAGAATACAGTGTTGTTCCTGTGGAGAAGCTTGTCAAAGTTCCATCCAACATCTCTTTTGAGCAAGCAGCAACATCCATGATTCAGGGACTGACTGCGCATTATCTCACCCATTCCTGTTACCCTGTGGGGCCTGGAACCAAGGTCTTGGTGCATGCAGCTGCTGGGGGGACTGGGTCTCTGATCTGTCAGGTGGCTAAGAATGCAGGTAATGATAACAGGAAAATTTTTGAGCAAAGTTTCCTGAATGTGAACTGCAAGGGTGCGTGATGATTTAGAGGAGAAGGTTGTACAAGGGTACAGCTTTGATTATCTTACTGAAAACTGAAGAATTAAGCAAACAAAGAAATTAATACAAAAGGTATCAATGTTTGGGTGGAGAGAGGTGTGGCATTTTATGGTCAAATTCTGGACTTGACTGACAGTTGACTCACCTTTAAGTTTTGAAAGACTCCAGTCCATGTTCTTGGAATCCCTCAGCCAGCAGTTCCACAGATGCATTCTCAAAATATCTGGGATGAAAGAATTCCTGTGGTATTTTCATTCAAATCAAACCTCTTTGGAACTATAGCAATTAACACAAATTTTTCAGCTCCAGAGTTTTTAAGTATAAAGTTCTCAATTGTATCCTCTATACTAATCCAAGTTGTACCAAACAGGCTACATTTCAAGCAATCTCTGTTCCTTCTGTACCCAGGCATCAGAGTCGCTGTATCATCTTTTTTATTTTTGTCCATTTTCAAAGACTTTTTCGTTCGATTTTGAATCTTTTTGGCACCTACTCACAAATGAAAAAACACAATTATCACTGCAAGACATTGTGGTAGGAGTAGTGACTACAAAATGCCCTTCTCATCATCTACTTAATTATATGCTTCTCATTGGTAAAGTTTATCTGTGGGTCTGTAGAGCAAACAGGACACCGCCAAAGATACATGGTTTTAAAAAAATGATTGTGGCAAAATATGAAACTGAACGACTTATTATCGTTGACAGTGAAACAACTAGCTTCATTACAAGAAAATGGTTTATATCTCTCGAGAATTTTGTTTGAAATAGGTAATTTTTTTTTCTTCTACCTCTGATTGCCTGTTTAAATTAATTGTAACTCCTATTTGTCGTAACTTGTTATAACCGCTTAGTTTAGGTGTGACTAGTACTTAGATGTGATATAGTGTCATTGTTATCTTAGTGAGTAACTAGTGATTAGTAGGAATTATTGTAATAACTATAGTTATTTATTTATTTATTTATTTTTGTATTGTTAGTGTTTTTGTTGTTGTTGTTGTTAGCTATTGGAGTTGTAAATTAGTTATTAGTTATTTTAGTTTATTTTATTATCTCCTGTATATTTTGTGTGGTCAATAAGTCATTAAAAAAATTACGTTTTTAGGGAATTTCTTTCTTTGGCCACCGTAAAGTGTTGAGAGGTTAAAGGGTGTGGATTAATGGAAGGCTATTATACTTTGCCATTGCTTTCAGGAGCCTATGTGATTGGCACAACCAGCACCGAGGAGAAAGCGGCAAAAGCAAAGGCTTGTGGTGCAGATGAAGTCATTCTGTATTCCAAAAAAGACTTTGTTCAAGAAGTCAACAGCTTGACTTACGGGGGTGGTGTCAATGTCGTTTATGATGGAGTTGGAAAGGCAACCTTTGACAAAGGTAAGTATGATAGGAAACTATATCGATAAAAAGCAACGAAGCTATGGCTATAAGGGCTATTCAGGGTTTTTGTTGAAGTCGACAGACCAGTCATAAACGTCCGGCTGACTCTTAATATTGTATAGTTTTTACACTACAGCCATCCGGTTACCAAACACTTCCCTGAATTCAGTGAAAAAAAAAAAAAAGCTGTCAACGCTTGGTGAGGTCCCGTATAGAAATGCTGGGGGTACGCATCGGAAAATTTAAAACAAGAAAAACAACAGAAAACTGAAAACTTTTTCGGACTCTTAGTTAGACAGGACGGAAGGAAAAAGGAAACAAGAAAATAAAGAGAGACAGAGGGAGGTTGGGAGAGAGGTCCCAGAATCTCTCTTTGTGGGCGTGGCTTAAATTCATTTTCACCCCCAATTTTAAAACAACTCAATTGGCATACCAGTTTTCAATAGCGCTAAACATGGCTCTTTTGCATGACAAATAGCCCTCGTATTTTTCGCCTAAATAACCAAAATACCCCTTAAACGTTCTGCGACAAAGGGAGCTTCTTTTGTGGCAAATCTCACCGTTCTTTAATATTCCATGTCTTTCGTTCAATTTGTCAAATGTTGGTGAATGTTTCTGGAGTTGAAGCCTAAAGGAATGTATCTAAGTTCAGAAAAAGAAAAAGAAAACGGATTTCTTGTGTACAGGTCCACCAAACGTGAGGCTAGGACGTTTGACGTCCTAGTCATGCAAAGCAATGAACAGAAATGTTTGCAAAATTGCTGTTTTTCTTTTTAAACCGGCGTGTGGTCATCGTCGTCGTCGTTGCTTTGAAAGCACCTTCACAACCGTACGACGAATACCTGTGTCATCTTCATAGGGAACTCCCCCCCCCCCCCGAGGAGCGAATACCGACGGAACTCTCGCTTGCCAGTCCGGTCATCAGCGGTGCCTGGTAAAAATGATATCGATGACAATGAAGAATAGTGGGTCCATTCAGAAGAAATATTGACAGCACTTTCACATGATACTATTTATTTTTCATCATGAGGACACGACTAGAAAATTTGTATCTCTGCGACAAATCGCACTGAAATTAATTGATGCGACAAAAACTACGCAAAAGATGGCAAGTGTAAACGGGCCTTAGAATTTTATATATTTTCCTTTAGGTTTCAATTGCCTGGCAACACGCGGTACGATGGTCCTTTTCGGTGGTGCTTCTGGTTACCCAGAATCTCTCGACCTCAGTCTTCTTTCATGCGGTTCACGCAGCCTTGTCCATCCCAAGCTTTTCGACTACGTATCAACCCCAGAGGAACTCAAGACAAGAGCTGATGACGTGTTTAAATGGATCACCGAAGGAAAGATTAAAGTGGGAGATTTTACTGTCCTTCCTCTTTCAGAAGCTCGCAAAGCTCATGATATGCTAGAGGGCAAGAAAACAACTGGAAAAGTCTTACTCAAACCTTGATCCATTGCTTGGTATATACTTTCTCGTCATCGTCTCATCGGAATATCTTTGCTGTTAATGTGCCTGAATATACCCTACGCACTGCTACAAATAGCTGCGGATTGAAATATTCCTTTTTCGTAAACGTTGGCAAAATAGCATTACCAAGAGCAGTGAAGAGAGAATTCTCTCTTGGTATTACTGAGTCTGGCCTGGTAAAACGAACAGATAACTAAAATAAGACTGAGTGCACTGATTTACAAGAAAAAACATAACATTTTAATAATAAAGCCTAAAATGACATGGTTTAATTATACTTTGATTGCAGTGAAGGCACTGTTTATCCATACGAGCATTATCTGTGTAGGAAGGTTTGCCATTATCCCGTAGATCACGTAGATTCCCGTTCACCCCCCCTCCACCAAGTTCACTTCAAAAGTTCCAAATGTTATGCGTGACCTGCGTCCAGGGAAAAGGAAAAGTTTGGGCGCGCTCGTTAATGTTGGCGTAAATAAGTATACCTGGATTTTTGAAAACCGGGTTAGCAAAAAATCAACTCGTTCTACTTCTGGGCAATTTAAAACAATAAAACATCATTCAAAGGCCGATTAAAAGCCTTTATCTGACGCCGGGCAGTAAGTTAGCGGTTACTAGAAGCATTTCAACGAGTCCAAATTTAAAGTGACGCAAATTTTAGAACATTTACTCAGTAATCCCACTCCGTGAAGTTTCAAACTGGTGTCTTTTCAGTCTAGAAATTTTAAAGTTGAGTGAACTGCAGCTAAAAGGCGCCTTCAATTGGTTATGAAGGCTTACATAACATAGTTAGCAAAACACTACTTTTTGGCGGTCCGATTAGACTACGAGTAGTCCCCAATTTTCCTCAGGGATAGTAAAGCGAGCGAAACGCGCCTCTCTCTCTCTCTCTCTCCGCCGCGTCTCGCCTTTCCAGCGTGGGTGATTTTCACGTGCGCTCTCGTTTCGCTCGCTTTACTATCCCCGAAGAAAAATGGGGAGTAGACAACAAACTGAATAAACATAGGACACAAATTATCACCTCATCTGCAAAAACCGGCCTTTTGGTTCAAAGCCATTTGAGCCTGCTGAAACTAGACCTACAACCCCGGACAAAACCTGCTGAGACAAATCGCGAAAATGCCTATTTTTTCCTGTCATCCCGGCAAAAACTGAAACCTCCGCCAAATGAATGCCCGATTTCCCCCCTCCCCTTATCCAAAGTTGTTTAGGATAGAATGGCAATTATACACGTCGGTTTTTAGACCAAGACAACTTTGAATAGGGGGTTTGGAGGGGGTTTACTTTTTGCGTTTAGGGGAGACGGGAATAGGGCGCAAAAGTTACAAAATAGATGGAATTGTCTCAACAGTTTTGTCCAGGGTTGTAGCTCCAATTTTCCTGAGTCAATATTTGCTTTTCCAAGGTACAATCAGCTAACCTAAACACCAAAGAAACGGTTTCATGTCTGGCACAGAATATTTTGGCGAAACAGCCCAACCACGTGACCATATATATATACCTGAGTTCTGCCTGTCAACACCAGGCGGAAACCCCACAATCACACACTTTCGCGGCACGAGATAAGACTATCCACAACCATGCATAATCTTTTGACGTTTATCACAAGCGAAATATCATCGAAGAAGACCCTGTGGGAGCGTATATTTGGGCGTCGATGTAGTACCCGTGCGTGAATTTTTTTTGTGTGTATTAGGTATGTGTGAGTATTGCACTGCAGTAGCGTTGTATACTTTGGGGGTTGGCTAACGTTGAGATGCGTGGAAGGCGTGTAGTTATATTGGACATGAATTGGTAAGGTAATGGTTGTACTTCTCTTAATCAGTGAAACTTGTCTCTCGTAGAATTTATTATGAAGTAACAAAAAATAATTGTTTTGAGAAGACCAATAAGATATTTTCCAAAGGCAAATGCTAGTTTTGCCATATCTGGATCAATAGCTGCACTTGCCCGTTTGGATGGGTTAGATGTAGGAACAGTCTCTTTTCATCACTGTCTCTGAGATCAGTCGATGAATCAAGCTGTTCATCAGGAACGACAATGATTTTCTTAATAGCTGTTTTTAGTTCCTCCTTAGTGAACTTGTGTTGAAGACGTAGTAGATGTGGGCGACCATGGACTTGTCCCAAAACAATATATGGTCCATCAAATCGACGTATAAACCTTGTTGCAGATTTTTCATTCCTTGAACTAGGAGGAATAGCTAAGTCCCTAGACGACTTATCATAGTACTCTCCTTGTGTGCCCTTTAAATCGGCCTTGATAGTGTTAAACTGCTTTTGTGCTTCTCACAAGCGAGATACAAGCTGCTCAGCATAAGCGTTTCTTGAAAGTGTTGCTGGGGGCAAATCATTAGGGATGATTTCGGGTGCATGTCGTTCGAATACCAAGAAAAATGGGCTGATCTGACCAGTACCAGGGATTGGAGACACATTGTGTATAGACAGCTGGCTGTAAGAAGTCTTCCCAGCGTTCCTGGTGTGAAAGGGGAGCCAAGTTCCTAGTAGCTAAGGAAATATCAGGGAGACGACGAAGAAGTGACAAAACAGGCAAAAGGCAATTAAGGAGTTTGAGATTTTCGTTTCATAATTAATATTTTACAACTTTTTTCTATTTCTTTATACTTATCATACTCTTTATACTTTTTGTACCCACGACATTTATTCACACCCACACACGTGACTCACACCCACGATCCACGACATTTAGCTACACTCCACAGACTGTATCTTACTGTGAAACTCACAAAACCGTGAACACCAGAAATATTTATGGCATGTTATTGTTCTGCGAGAAATAAGCCAACAAGGCCCGAGATAATTAAACCGCAAACAGCAACGGTAATTAGTTTGTGGTTTTGAGGTTTGCTTGCCTATCCTGAACTTTATTGTGATTGGCCAGTGTACAATCAACATTCCTAACATTTTTCAGGTGTTCACGGCATTGAGTTTCTGAGTTTGACAGTAATAATAAGACTGCTATAAGGGGCCGACCATTTAACTCTTGAGGGTGGGGGTGGGTGATTTCTGGTCATCAAGAATTTTTTTTTCTAGCAATATGGTGGGCAGGATAAATTACATTTGCGCTGAAAATTTTTTTCTTTTTCGACAAAAATTTTTTTTTTCAACCGATTTAAACGGTCGGGGGACGAAACATAAAAAAAGACGATTTGACGTACAGGGGACGAGGCCAGCATTTTCGCGGAAGTACTTACAGTTTTCCCAGAGTCATTATCAGAGCAATGGAATGACAATAGAGCGTTTTCACTCACGTGACCAGCATCTATGTAAATTTATGGGAACAAAAGAAAGTTTTTGCATAAGAAGAGAGTTCAACTCCCCCAGGACTGGTTTGGTACACCAACATGGCCTCCGTTTTATTGTTTTGGAACACCAATATGGCCGCCGAGACGTCAGGTGAAAACGCTTTATAGAGAGTTTCAGAATCACTTTTACATCAAATTGTACCACGTGATTAAGTTTGCTCAGCGTTGACAGTGGTCATGATTTCGACACTGGAATAAGTTTTATGATGCTATGTTTATCCATCAGGTTTATTTTGGAAAATTTCATTTCCTAATTTGAGAAGTTCTCAACTTGAACCTCTGGTTTGCCGTTTGCCCTAAACGTGACTCTAAATTTCTCTGATAATTCTGTGAATCGTAACCGGCGCCTGTAACGAAAGGGTAAGTCGGTGCGTCTGTCAGTAACATACGTACAAGCAGTACAATTTTGACCAGAATAGAAAGACCCCGCCCTTGTTAAGGTTGCCCGTCCAAAGACAACGAGATATGTAGATATGAATAATGACATAAGAACAAAGTAAGAAAGATAAGACAATTATAACATGTAGTTTGTGAAAGATAATTAATTATATACTTATAATGGGACCATAAACGCGATATGTGTTCGTCACGCGTTCCTGGCAGGAACGCGTGTATTTGGTTTTTAGCTTCGTGAGGTCATTTTCAATGTTATTCTCATTAAGAGATACCGGCTTCCATGCCAAAAAGAGAGGGAATACCCCCTTGCTAGATCGGACGGATTAAGATTATAATCTTGTTTGGCAGAAAGCACACTCGTCTACAACGAACCTCAAGGGGATTACTAAGAGCCTGAATATGATTCTTTTTTTTTTGCACAATTTTGTGTCCTTTATTCATAGTTGAGATCAGACGCTAATGAAATGTATCATTTTCCGGACGCTTTATACAATGTAGGCCTGATTCAAAATAATGACATGCGTGCTTAGGGGCAAGCCAAAACTTGAATCACAGGGTATGGCAAGTTTATCTGCGTAAGTCAAAAAGAAGTTATATAAAGAAGTTATATAATAGCGAAAATGTGGCACAGGGCTCATCCGGGTTTGACGTTAAACAAGCTTTAAAGTCATGAACTGGCTTCTAATTGGCTGCAGTTGACACACCTATACTGTAGGCTCTATCGTCTCTTTAAATATGTTTTTATTAGGCCATTTGCATGATGGCGTCACACTACCACTATGACCAGAATCCTTCAGGGTTTTACTTTCTTGCGCAAATTAGGGCTTTTGTCATTTAAACCTCACTGGGGCTACCAAATTTACATATGAAAAGAAAAACGAAAAGAATTCTGGTCGTAGTTATAAAATGACGCCATCGTGCAAACGGACTTTTGGAACAAAGAACAGAAAAGCACTCGAGTGCATGATCTTGACTATTTTGCTATTTTGTTTTAACAATGGGGATGCGGGAGTATTGCGATGTTTGGCGAGGTTTAGTTTGGTGGGCTTTTTTTCATTGTTCATTTCTATTGATTACTCCAGGTATGTCCAACGCTGTGTAATTCAGTTTAAATTAACAGAATTAATGAATCAATTTGGCACAGGCAGTGTAACTTTTACTCCTGCGAGCGCTTGTTCCGGCCGATTTTACAAAGCGAAGCTTGTGGTTTGTATATCGATTCTCTCCAGTCTCTAGTTATTTTAATGACGGAAGGTCAAAGTATTTTGTTGTTGTTGTTTTGTTCTTTTATTTTCTGTAGGTGTAGGAGCTCTTAAGTTCCTCCAGGGTCCCCCACAACTTCAGGCATCTTATGTTGGCTGGAGCGTTGACTACAATTGCACAACAGACGACCCAAATGCCACAGTGTCACTTCTACATTCTAGAGCTTTTGGGTTCTCTTATAATGTGTTTCCAGTCACACCAAACAGACTTATTTTGAGGAAACAAGTGTTCACATTAGTGAACGTTATTCTTTCGGATGGAGGATACTATAAATGCAAGGCAACGGACCAGTCAGGTCTAACGATAGAATGGAAGAGTGGTTCAATGTTATTTGTACTAGCAGGTCTGTACGAATATTCTGAGTACAGTAAATTGTTATTATCTTCAGCTTTTCCTTGATGTGTGACTATAATTCGGAACCTACTTATTCTTAGAGTTAGTTTCAAATAAAAACAAACACAGAGCACTATGCAAACAATGAAAGATCGAAGCGACTCTGCCATAGATTTTGGCAGCTCCAAAAATTTCTGCTATTTGAGTCATCTACCATGTTTTCCAGTTCCGAAATCTTAGTATGATAGTATTCTTTTCTCTTCTGTTTCGGAACGTTTTTGTACTGTTTTAAGACAATTTAATATTTTTCCCTAAGCGTAATATTCAGAGGATCCCTGTGGTTTAGATTAGAAAGTTTCCTCAATTCGTGTCTCTTAAGACGACATTCTTTATCAAACCATTTTTTGTTAAAACTCTAGTATATCGTTTTATAATGTTCTTAATTTCTAAACAATGTTTTGCGGTTGTAAAAGGAATCCTTTCTACTGCATCGAGAGAAGAGTTAATGTGTTTGTCTGTCCCACAGTCAACAAGAAAATCATGTATCATTCTCTGTATGTCTCTTGTTTGCACTGCTGGTTTAAATTTTTGTGATGAATCATATGCATTTTCCTGTTTGGGTAAACAAATTAATGTATCATTGGTTTTTTCTGTAGCTAAGTGATTATTTACCGTATTAATGTTAAGCCATGTCATTATTGGACTGTGATCTGTTAAATTCGACGGCTCTTTTAACAATGAATTCGCGATAGAGTGGAATATTAGTCTTGGTCGCATATTGCATAGCCTGCGTGGCAGGCGCAAAAAGGGGAGGGGGAGAGGGGGAGGGAGAAAAGCGCGAAAGAAGGGAAAAGGGAAGGGAAGCAGGCGTCCCTTACCCTCTCTCCCCAATCCCCCTCTTTTTTTTCTTCCTCCCTATCCCCTTTCCCAACGCAGGATACATACTGCATAGTCAACAACACTAACTCCTGATATACCATGAAATGTTGGTCTTGCCAGCGAATCACCATGGAATCTACCATTCATAATCTCTAGATCTGCACTCCTACATATTTCTAATAGACGTTTCCCGCGGTTATTTAATTCGTTACTGAAGCTGTGTCGCTGAAAGGCGCATAGCGAGAATTCAGATTGATCGTTTTCTTGACAGACATTGTCTGAGTATTCGCCTGTTCTAGAGTTGAAATCACCCATAAGAAGAATTGATCCAAAAGCCGAGAATTTCTCAATATCGTTTCAAGTTCTTCAAATAGTTCAGGACAAAAGTAAATTGAATTTTGAGGTGGGATATATGTGCCACATACATAGATATCTTTTTTGGTTGAAAGAAAGATTTATGACCAAAGCGAAATCGCACTCTGCTTGCGATCCTCGCGCGATGCGCGACAAAATTTTAAACTCGCTCTGCTAGAATGAACATTTTGTGGAGCTGACTACAGTACGTATTGAAGACGGTATGTAAAGTTCTGTACATATTTTTTGCAGGTCAGTTACCCAGGCATTTTGTGTTGATACCAAACAAATCAATCTATGTAATGCAAGGCCAGAGTGGACAAGTCACGTGTGAAGCTGAAGGCCCTTCAGTTTCTACCCTGAAGTGGGAAAAGCAACAGGATAATAAATCATATGCAGCCGTCCCCGACAGCCAAGTTAACATCACTAAAGATGCAAATTATGTGAGAGCTGTCCTGAAGATTGCAAATGCCCAGTTCTCGGACACTGGTACATACAAATGCACAGTATCAGTTCCACCAAATAAATCAGATTATAAGCTGACAAAGATAACTGTCAAGGGTATGTTTGTGTATTTATTTTATTCTTTTTTCTACCCGCACCACAAGAATTTTTCAATACATACTATATATCTAGCCACAGGCATCCCAAGCTCACGTTTCGAGTGTGTTACGGTATGTAAAATTAACTTTCTCACAAGAGAGTCGGAGTCGCGTTACAAGCAACCGTTTAGACTTTGTATGAGAAATAAAATGCTGAGGTCTGCGAACGCTTAATATCATTATTCTTACTTATTTTTCTATAAAATTAATAAAGGAGACTCACTTTAATGTATTCCTGTGTTTTTTGGTGTGAATTCATCGATTGAGTCGGGGTTTTGGGTATTGTTTGACCCCTGTCACTTTCTTCATAATACGAATTCTCCGTTATTTAATTTATAAAAAAATTGAGTAAGAATAATGATACTAAGCGTTCGCAGACGTCAGTAGTTTACTATTTTATTTGTCATAGAAAGTCTCAGAGGTTGCTTGTAACGCGACACCGTCTCTCTTGTGAGAAAGCTAATCAGTACATAACACATTCGTGACGTGAGCGGGGTGGAACGCCCGTGATCTAGCCGGAGTTTTGAAAACTTTCCTTCCGAAATTTACTTTTGAGTTTGCTAGCCTACATGTAGCTTTACCCTGCCTCTGGAAGGGCAGAAACGGCGGGGAATTGTTTGGTTGCAGGTAAGCTATGGAGAGGAGAAAAGTTTAGGTTAGCTGATTGTATCTTGGAAGAGCAACTCTCGACGCAGGAAAATTGGATCTACAATAGGTCTAGTTACAGCGGGCTCTAATAGAGTACTTAAGTGTGACGTCATAAAAAATAAATTTCTGAAATTATGGGATTTGTCGGGATATTCTGAAAGAACAACGTCCAAGAGGCCTAGATGCGAAAAACGAGCATTTCGGGGCAAATTGTCTCTGAGATATTAGCGCAGTTATGCTCTGATAAGCCCATACAAACCGTTCTATATGTTTCTAATAATAGTAATAATAATAATAATAATAATAATAATAATAATAACAATAACGGTTTAATATCAGTCATCCATGGTATGGCTCTTCGCCTGAAATAAGAGTAAAATAAGGAAATTAAAAAAATACATAAATCTGAATTATGAATTTGTAAAAAGCTAGGTAATAAACAGTAAAATGTAATTATATAATACATACATTATTTAATTATTCCGCCCTATTCCGGCAGCGCTCCCTTAAAATACATAATGTTTGCTTACTGAAGGATTTAACACAGCATTTAACATTCTGGGTCGACCCCAAAAAAATTTAGAAAGGTTTGTATGGACAAGTAGCAGAATGAGTTGAATTTTTTTGCTAACCCGGTTTTCAAAAATCCAGGTATAAGTAAAAACTGGTTATCTTGAAGCAAAATCCTTGCAGACGTCCCAAATGATTGACCCGTGGATCCTGTAGATTTCGCTTTCCCCCCTCAAATTCGCTTCAAAAGTCTCTATTGTTTTAGCCTGCGTGACTAAAATCCCGGACAAGTGCGTTCGAAAGGGAGAATTGGTGTTGGCGGGCGTGAAGGCAGAGGCGTGCGCGCGTTTATGTTATCATTCATAATCAACATTTGGTTTTCTTGCGGGAAAAAATCCTTACAAAAGTCCCAAATGATGGACCCGGTTGCACTTCTGCTTGCCAGTATTTTGTTAAGTATTTTTTGTTCTTTTCAAACTTTCTACTTTAAGGAGCTCCATGGCCAGGGCCGGGTCTAGGGGGAACTTGAGCCTCGAAGTGAAGTAGAAGACAGTGGAAGTGTGCTTTATAGCTTTATAACTTACCAAAGCTATCGTGTGCGAAACATAGTACAGTGAAACTCAGTTAATATGGTCACCAATGGGTCAAAAAAATTTGGCCGTATTAACGGGTCAGTTCAAAACCACTTAAACATAGCATTGTTAAACGTGTTTTAATATTTAAACGGTGGATATGGGCATATTTTTATCCCCTATAAATTTTTCATCTGTTCGGATTTCCTAGCTGAAAGTCTAGTGATCCGAAAATTATAGGGATCAAAACTTACCTGTTCGAAAATTTCAGCCAGAAAAAAAGCTCCCGAAAATTCTAGGTGACCTTTTTAGGGTAAAAATCCGTTGAAAATGGGCAATTTTACCATTTGTTAGATGTTCGAAAATCCTAGGAGAGGCAGGCAAGCAATAAATTTTACAACAAATGTTCCGAAAATTCGAGATCTCAAATCGTCTTCCGAACAGATATTTTTCCGAAAATTGTCGTTGGGTGCCCCTGACGGGTGACCGTATTAACGAAGTTCTTAGTGGCCGTAATAACGCGCCGTAATGCGGGTTTTCACTGTACCCCATCTTGCAAATTTTGTTTTTTCCGTTTAAAAACTATGGAATGCGGAGTTTGATGACTTCAGGAGCTCCTGATGACTTAAATTGTAAGACCTTGGGGCACTGTCTGTCGTTGCGTGACAAGTCAGACGTTAATGGTTTACAGTCGGTGTATGCACTGTGCAAACTAAATTTTTCCGACTAGGGCCCTGGTCTGGTACATCATAGCCGCCCGCAACGCCGATGAATATGGCAGCGAGCGATTTGATTTTCAGGTTTCTACGCACATGTGGTCGCAGTAAAGGGATGGGGGCTTTTTCTCTTCTTGTGTTAGTCAGTAAGTACAGTTATGTTCTTCGATCTGATCTTTGATTATTGTCCTCATTTTAGCGTAATAATTTTATACGTAGCATGCATTAACTAAACAACAAAATACGTTGCTCCTTGTGCCTTAACATCTGTTTAGCCTGTTTAGAGGATCACGAAGGTCTTTGAGAGGAGTCTGTGTAGCTATTAATCTGCTTTATTGTAATAAAAAAATACCAGCGATAGGAAACAAGAGCCGATGAAAGCTGAAGATCTTTCATTCTTTCCGCCGGAAAGCATTTCGCGAAGGAGGGACCTGCATCCCCTTGAGTTGTGATGGTGAAGACTACTTCCAGTTTTTGATCTATTGCGATATTTTAATACTTATTTTACTAATTTATAACTGTGTTGATATCAAACTTTGGGCAACTTTATTAGAATTTATTTAGAAACTAGTTAATCAGCTTCTCGAATTAATCCCGCAGTCTACTGCCCCGTCAGGCATTGGGTATGTAATTGAAAATTTATCTATTCGGAGTAACTTCGTTAATAATAGACTGCGATAAATCATTAATAAGTGTCCAGTATAAATACCTGTCTTCTCAATCTGATCAGTGTCTGATCAAACTTGTGTCCAAAGTCTTATCACGAATCTCTATTTGGGACACAGCCGATTAAGTAAAAATTGATCTTTATGCGAAGCCTTAGAGACGCCTTATTCAGTACTTGAAATGAAACTTAATCATTGTTATTTTCACTGATAAGCGAAAAATTTATGATGGTTTTCGAATTCTGATCATGCTAAGTTTTTGCGCAAATGAAACATGCGTTGTCTTAGCGTTTACCAGTAAAACATCTTGTTGTTATGAGCCACAAAAAAAATTTAATCCCCGCGGATGACAAGACTCCTTTCTTCGCTCTTGTCATTTCTGTCAACATTGCTCAATTGTTTACCTTTCACCGCCATATCCGTCGCGTAGTCTGGTGAGTCCGCGAACGGATTTGGAACAGTTTACGAATCTGGCGATAAGCCCCAATTGACCATTTCTTATTTTGTTATGCAGCATTGTAGTCGTGCTATGCAAATGTACAAACATACACCCTACTAATTGAAACTTCATGATTATGTAGTTTCGAAGCTAGCCTACGTGTAGTGGCACCCTCCCGCTTTGAGGGGGAGGGTGCAGCTACACGTAAGCTATTTAGAGGCTACTGAATAGCCTGCGTAGCCTGCAGGATCGTTCGCGCGAGGAAATGTTTGCAATTGGAACTGTGAATAAAAGAAGTGCGGAGAATGGTGAGGAGACGCTTTTTCTTAGGGGTACGCGCGCCGCGCCCGAGTGATTTGTCCAGTGTATGCTACAATAGAGAACAACGGCAAAACTAAAAGCTCGCTAGAAACGCTGAAACGGCCAAAAATGCGACATACCGTATTTAAAACAAGAAGACAAAGTGAGAAGTTCTGATGTTTTTTCCTTGCTATTACGGTATCCTTAAAAACCCTCATACAAACCCTTACAATGGAGACCCAGTACGACTACGAGGACGAGATTTCCTCGATACTAAGTAGTGCGCGCGCGTAAGCCAGCGTCAGTTTAGCGGGTAAACTTGGTAGCCGTCGTCATTCTACTACGAGTTTTAGCGAGAATGTCATAATGTCGGAAACGAGTTATCAAATGTCAAAAGTTTTATCATTTTGCTATCAAGAGAGGGCTTAACCTCCTTCAATATAAATAACAGTGCTATCGTTTCTAATGAAAAGAAGTACAATCAAGCTTTCCGGGGTGCCTATTTTTTAGAATACGCGGAAAAACTTTAAGTGAACACGTACTCTCAGTCGTTCTCGTCCTCGAATCAAGGGTCTCCAATATTTCTGTTACGCAACAACGATCCTCTTTCGTGAGCCTGGGGTAAAAAGATAACTTGTAAACTTCCTGGTGAAGCCTATGTGATTGGACGGAAACGGTCGGAAGACAAAACAAGCCAGTCACATGGCAAAAGATAAACAACGATCCTCTTTCGTGAGCCTGGGGTACCTGTGTCAAAACCCGTCCTCTCGCGTATTGATCGAGAAGAAAGCCACAGTTCCTGACGTTTTTTTTTTTCAATTACATTTATCCTAATCTTTGTCGCTGTCTCAATTTCAACCTATTTCTGTCTCTTTTTTCGCCATTTCATCTGGGTCTTGATTAGCTGTTTCAAGGCCATGTCGCTTGTCGGAATTTTACCTTAACAGGCTTAGGGAACTCGTAAAAAGATAACTTGTAAACTTCCTGGTGAAGCCTATGTGATTGGACGGAAACGGTCGGAAGACAAAACAAGCCAGTCACATGGCAAAAGATAAACAACGATCCTCTTTCGTGAGCCTGGGGTACCTGTGTCAAAACCCGTCCTCTCGCGTATTGATCGAGAAGAAAGCCACAGTTCCTGACGTTTTTTTTTTCAATTACATTTATCCTAATCTTTGTCGCTGTCTCAATTTCAACCCATTTCTGTGTCTTTTTTCGCCATTTCATCTGGGTCTTGATTAGCTGTTTCAAGGCCATGTCGCTTGTCGGAATTTTACCTTAACAGGCTTAGGGAACTCGTAAAAAGATAACTTGTAAACTTCCTGGTGAAGCCTATGTGATTGGACGGAAACGGTCGGAAGACAAAACAAGCCAGTCACATGGCAAAAGATATTTAACAATGGGCTATTGACTCAGAGGCCATGAGGGCGAGAGGAATAATTGTTTTAGTAAAATCCAACTAGTTGGTCAAAAATATCGAGAATAAAAAAATTTTAGCTAGTTAAAGCTAGACTTTAATCCTCTTTTGCTGCCAAAAAGCCTGCGATTTTCGCTACTAGTGGACTATAACATATAGCCTAGTAGTAGCTCAACCAATCCGAACGCAGCATTGATATTTTATTAAATTCAAGATATATGGGTTACTTGGTACTTCTGGTTGCTACTTCTCACTACTAGTTATTTAAAAATGTTTGGAAATTGCTTTTCGCTTGACATAACTGTGAATGGTATTCATGGAGAGGATAGAGAAGATAGCAGAGAGACTAAGAATCACGTTTACGGCAAACGGCAAACGTGAACAGGTCACTTCCGAGTTCCAAAAACCCACACTTTCAAAATGAGGCCAAGTGCTCAACCTTTCTTGTGAAAATGAGTTTTATTTGCATGAGAATGAAAAATCATTTCCATATCAAAGGCTGAGCACTTAATCTCATAACGATACAGAGGCCTGGGGAACTCGGAAATGGCTTACTTGTACCACGTGACCAAGTTCTCCCCTTAATTATCGTTTACTGTTTATTAGTTCTACTCAAAACTAAATAGTTTCACGTCAGTTTTATCCATAAAAATTGTCCTGCACAGTTTTTATCATCTTATTTTCCAGGGTTTTCATTATGAATTGTAGTAGCAGCAGAGAGGTGTAACGTTACAGGAGAATATTTTGAAAGAGGCTCCACGTCTGAATAAAAAATAGTCATAGGGTACCGAACGTTAGCCGGAGAATTTCTCCGATCTCCGATGGCTAATGAAAACCCTGATTTTCTATTCTGAGAAATTCTCAACTTAAATCTGACGTTTGCCGTTTGCCGTAAACGTGACTCTGTCTGTAATTACCTGCAAGAGCTGTGTGCGATAACTGCACAGAGGGTTAGAGGCGAGGAAGTACTACTTTACATTTTCTACCCGGGTGTCTCGACAAGAAACAGCTAAATTTGCAACCTTGTTGAAGACCATTGTTGCTGAATGATATCTACTTGACCATGACTAATTACTTTATCTCATAGCTAGCCTGTAAGACATGCGTCGAAAGGGGAGGGGAGGGAAAAGGATCGCGTCTGCCACGCATGCTAACTGAAGAGTAAGGTCATCTGTTTCGGGAACTCTCCGCGCATGTCTCCTCGTAGGTTAAATAATAGCGAGTTTAAGTTGCCACAACGGCGAAGGCAACGAAAACGTCAAAAAAAGCAATAGGTTTAATGAGCGATTATTAATTAATAATAACTCTGCACGTGCAGCACACTTTCTTGGTTTATTTTTCTGCGTTACTGCACGACTACGACGTGAAAATGCCTTAATTCACGTTTAATGGAGGATGTCAACAAGCGACGACGATGTTCTCTCTCTGAACTTGGATATAGTTCTTAGGAATTCAATTCCACATGATTTCGATTGCATTTGGCGAACTAAGTGAGATGGAATAATCCGACGATAAAGATCGAAAGAAAGTGAATTCGCTTTGTAAGCGACGTTTTCGCCACCTTCGCTTTCTTGGTGTCATTTAAAATGGCAGCAGTCTCCAGTAAGAAGAGTTAATATCAAATTGAAAAACAGATTAAAAGTAACATTTTTTCTTCATCACTAGGTTCTCTGATGGGATCAACTAGCGCGACATCCCTTGTTTCCTTGTCATCAATAGCGAACCCTACTCTGTCCACTGCTCGGTTACAAGTGTCCCCTGTGACCATCCCAACGGCCTCGCAATCTTCATCGGCTTCTGTTGCTGCGACCGCTCAGGTCCAAACTACTTCCACATCTTCATCGTCGCTGGCAGCTACTCCTGCGCCTACCTCTGCTGCTTCCACCGCCCAGGTCCAAACTACGTCCACATCTTCATCGTCGCTTGCAGCTACTCCTGTATCTACCTCTGCTGCTTCCACCTCCCAGGTCCAAACTACTTCCACATCTTCATCGTCGCCGGTAGCTACTCCTGCCCCTACTTCTACTGCCTCGAACGCTCAGGTCCAATCCGTCTCAGCATTGTCATCATCGCTGAACGTCCTCATTTCTCCTAGTTCCTCTTCAGTTGTTCCTGCTAGCTCTGCATCAGTGGGTAAGCTTCTCTCCTTATCTGATTATTACCTTCATCAATTTCTGTTTTTCAGATTTAAAGTCTTTCCCTCGAAAACACCTAACATTGATTTTTTTACCCTTTTCATAGACTGCCACTCTTTTATTTACGCTCGGAAAATTTATGTACGTACACACGTATTACGCAACAATGGAAACCCAGCTTAATGGTGCTCAAGTTTTCCTTCTTCTATTGATCAATTCGGTTTTTAGATCTGCGCGCGCTGTTTCTTTTTTTTAAATTAACATTTCTTTATTCTGCTTTATATATTTTTTTTACAGAATCCACTGACCCTAAACCCACCAGCAAGGCCAAAAAAATCCACAAATGGAACTGGATAATCTTAGGAATCGTCATCGGTCTTATAGCCTTGAATATTATCATTTTAGTGGCAGGAGTATTGTAAGTGGATTATTTTGTCTTGTGTGATCACTTTCTTTATTCTTATGACTTACATATATGTGATAAAGCAGTCACTGTGACATAAATCAGATGACGTGGATCACTGTCATGGCGTAAGTTTTCAAGGTACCTTTATCGTGTTAGCCTGCAAAACATTGGGATATTAGGAGCTTAGGCAAAGACGTTTGGACGACGCACGTTAACCGGAAATAACGTTTTGCTTTCCTGGGCAGTGGTTTTTGCCCAAAGTTTGACCCATATCGTCTGTTTAAGACTAAAGAGAGATAGCAATACAAATTTGGTAGAGGAAAACGCACCACTTTCGGTTGACGTGCGGGGCTAAAAAACGTCTTTGCTTTAACTGTTTATTTCTTTAATTTCTGCGCGTACGGCGCGAAGCGCGAGAAAGTCCCATGCTCGCTTTCTTTCTTTCTTTTTTTTTTTTTAATTATTTAACGTAATTTAACATAACATTACAATAAAGTATACAATAACGAGGCGAAAAAAAGCAAAACAGTCAGTCATAAAACGGAATAAGAAAGTTCAACAGTTTAACAACGACAACAGGAAGAACAAATAAAAATATAATAATAATCATAAATAGAACGCGCGTTTGCTAAATTGCTACAAATCAACACTAATCAGAAATGCACAGGGTGGTCCACTTATTTCTGTATTTGTTAAGATTTCCGTTTGTTGTTGCAATTTCTCTGTCGCACTGGATTTCAATTTCCAGGAGAACAATGAAAACCTTCAGTTCTGGGCTCAAACAAACGTAATATCTAGCAATAATCCATGCTCGTTTGAGACCTTTTCACATTCATGACCTTTTCCCCCCCCCTCTCCCCGCCTTAAGGAAAAAAACGAAAGAAAGAAAGAAAGAAAAGGCAAAGGGAAAACAAGAAAAATACGGCTGTTTTGCATTCTGTTATTATGTTGAAATAGTGATAAAATCGCTACAAGTAGGTCGGGTAGACAGCACAAATTTTTTTAACCTGGCATGCTTTGTAGTAGCACTCATTGCTGAAAGCATGTAGCGTGCGACATACTGCAGTAGGCCAAACCATCGGGAAAACAAAATTAATCCGCATTTAACCGTCCAGTTTTTGATTGTTAATAATTGTATTTTATTTTCATTTTGCAGCGCGAAAAGAGTGATGGAGTCCAAGCGTAGAAAGGAGGGTATCGCAGGGAGCAGTACTCGTGAGATGACCGCTGTGAAACCCACTAATGTCGTAGGCACTGCTAACGATGCATTGCAAATTGAAGCTTGAAAAGGGATGTAGATATCGACAAGAATTCATGTTCAAATATTGCCTTCGGATTTTTTTCGCATTTATTTTCGTGTCGTGTATACATAGATTTCAGTGTTAAGCAGAGGATGGCTATAGCTATCGGAGGTGCCTTTAATTTGGCTCTTTAGCGTTCATGTTAAGTGGTTCTCATAGAGCTGACAAATCTTTACAATGTTAATTTTATACTTTGGTAAAAAAATCTTGGGAAATTAGACAGCAAACACGAGAGGGCAATCAATGCTAAGCAGCCAGCCCCGTCCAGAATTATACATTAATTACCTGCGATTAGGCGTTCTTTTCCCCTCTGGCTCTGCCCCAAAGATCCCGGGCATCTAAAGTGTCATATTTTTTCGTTTTTTTTCCCTTGCCTCAGCCATAGAGCGTTTTCACTCACGTGGCCAGCAACTATTATTGGATCAAAAGAAAACGTTTACGTTAGAAAAGAGTTCAACTCCCCGGCCAGCACAGGATTGTTTTGGAACACCAATATGGCTGCCTTGACGTCATGAGAAAACGCTCTTTTGTTTTATGTGGTGTACTATCCTAATCTCGTACCTAGATCTCACTCTGTCTTTCCCTTGGCCGTGGGAGATCTGGGTACAAGATTAGTGCTATTCCATTTATTCCAGCCGATATTTGTGGGCAACCGGTCATTAAATTGATTTTGTCGTTTTGATATAATATGATTTAACATTATGTTTACTTCTAACTTGGTGCCTCTCTGTTAAGAAAAAAAGGTACATTTCCTGCAGCATTTATTTGCAAACAAGGGTACTCACTGGTATTTTTTCCTACAACGTTTTTGAGTGTGATAATGATTATTACTAAATGCAAGGTTTTGTCTTTACAGATATTACGAGCAACAAGCTCGTTCTCGCACGGGTTGTATCAAATTAAACCTGATAACAATAAAGGTGTAAGATAGTCAATAACTTCTGAAGATTTTGTCTGCATTTTGTATTGAAAAGTTTTAACAAGCTAGGAAGTTAGCAAAATGTCTTCAAAATACAGTACTAAAAGCGAAAGTCTGCATTTATTTCGGGCATATCAACTGGGGCGTCACTACAAAGAACCTTCTTTGGTACTTTTTAGATTCGACTTTTATAGATAAATTTATTTGCTAAAAAGATAGAACAGAACAACTGCAAATATGATAAATGAATTCCCTTTTTATGCAGAATGTGCTGTGAGGGAAAGCGTAATAAATGGCATTAAAAATTGTTAATTACACGCTTGCTTTATAAATTAGTTTTAATTGACAGAGCCATGTCTGATTTATCGTGACTAATCGACCTCTACTTTTTACAACGTACTGGTTTTGTACATAAGGACAATATGCCCTTGACTGGTTTTGAGTCAGACTCCCCCTCGACCCTCCTCCTAGAAAGGATAGGAAGCGACTGTCTTCTCGGACCTACTCAGCATTGTTTATGTAACTGTGTGATTTGTTGTTCCAGGCTTCTCGTCGTCACAGTTTATAGGTAGCCGCAGCACTGATTTGATTTGATTTCAAACTGCTTTAATAAAAATAGATGCCGCACAGGTTTTTCATTTTAGGTGGCTTCCCGCTCGGTTGAAAGTTCCTTGCTGGCAGAGTCGCTTCCATCTTTCCTAGATGAGCGATCGAACGAGACTTAACTTGCAGTTTAGATTAAAAGATAAACAATGCTATATTCTTATCAGGCGTTTTGCTTCTAAGTAAGTTTTGACGAGGAAAAACAAAAGGGGTATCAGCCAGAAGTAGACATGTATATTCGAAAGAAAGGTACGACAACCTTGAACAAAACCTGTTGAAACACATTACAAAAAAACTATCTGTTGCACTGGTCCTGACAAAAATGTTTAGCGCAGTTCCCACCTCCCCTATTCCAATGTTGTTTGCGGTGAAACATTAAGAAATGCACAAGTAAGCTGTTAGGGGAGAACAACTTTGAAAGGGGATGGGGAGGGGGGCGCGACTTTGTACCGTTTTTAAAATAGAGGAATTTGTTGCCCGGCGCGAAGTTGAAAAATACTCGGAAATGTCTCAACAGTTTTGTGCAGGGTCCCACCACACCCTCTGACAGGCTTTTAAGAGTAAGGACAGGTCGGCGTCAGGCCTGGGTGGGCGTGGAAAGGAATAGGGAGCTTTCTTGAAAAGTTTTCAACTTTTCTGCAAAATAAGGGACTGCGTAGCAATACTAAATGATCCTTGCTTTGGCTTGCATTGGGTTGACCACGTGAAATCTTCAATTCGATCTCTTGTTGAGGGTGGTAACTGCACTGGACACTAGAGTGAGGATGAAGCTAACCTGAGATCAGGCTTTCTTTGCTTGTTCGTTTGTTTGTTTCTTCGGTGGAAAGTCGGCGGGCGGGGAGACGGATAAAGAAAAGAAAGAAGGGCCGCCTGGTCCAAAAACAAAATAATAAAAAATGGAAGTGTTTAGGGCATAACCAGAGGCGCACACAGTAAAAACGCATTCTACTTCTAAAAAGCATGCCCAAAACTTTTTTCGTTTGCCCAGGGTCATTAAGAGGTAACATGATACTCCCGCTAACAAAAATGCTAGTGCAGTCTATCCAATTGCACGCGATACTTGGTCTGCGCCGACGAATAGGCAGTCCTTTCAACAAGGTAGGCGAAGGTAGGCCGTTCGCAGTGCTCGGTTCCGCTGAAAATTATAAGCGGTGCTTTTGACTCGTCTGCGTTGCATCGCCTCTAGCTTTCAATGTTATAATCCTTGCTGCACTGGGGTAAAAGATTGAAGCGTGGAATTCGACGGTCAATCTCCGTAACGGTGATCCCCAAGAGGAATCAACATGACGAAAACAACGCGTTTTTTATCTTTGTGTTTGCTATGGATTGCAAGCTTTGCTGTACAAGGTAAGAAGAAAATGCTATAGTTCTACAAAACTTGAAAAATACTTTTATGACTGGCAAGAATCGTGCGATAGCGACGAAATTCTGATAGAAATTTTCCGCGCCTTCGATGAATTAGTTCATTGAGGTAAAGATGAACAAAGCATGACTGTTTTCATCCGGTGCGTCACACATTCATCATAGTCCCTGGAAGAATGATTTATTGTAGCATTAATCTGCTAGTTCATTAGTAGTTCTTCGTCGGCCTTTGTTGATTGAAAGTCTTTATATCGCTAATTTAGACTACCTGAAGACGTTTGTCATAGATTGGCAAAACAGAGAATTGTAGTTCAGTGGCACTTGTGCACTCGACAGAACGTCTGTTCACGTGGTCTAGTCTGTTAAATGTCTTCCTTTTCATAGTTTACTTGTAAATATATATGACTTTATTCTTTGTTGCCTCCTTTTACTTTGGAGTTTTGTGGTTTTTCTAGCTTACTCTATTAAAAATTTGTAAACAATTAATCAGGCTGTCAGCACGAGTGAGCAAATGAACATGTAAGTGCATTTATATAAAAGTAAATATTCCTTGAAAGAAACAGACCCGTTATTTTAGTTTTATAATCACTTTTATCTTATTTACTGTTGACATGAATCTCAATTTATGTATTAGGTGAACTTACTATGATTTTTATGGGAACACATGCCCGCAGATACATTTCACGTCAAAAATTCGAACCGGTCCTAAGCTATTTGACCTTTCATAACTTGGCTTTCTTTCTCCTTTGATTGACTTTCACTGTTTTGTAGGTAAGCGCCGACCATGAAAATACTGAGCAACTGCAGAAATTCGGTAGTATGTTTTGTGTATATGCAGCGATGATAAATATATTATTGTGAAGATACGCGCGCCCGCGCGGGCCCGCGGTTTTGAAACGTCACGCAGGCACTAGAATCTGTCACGCAGGTGATCAGCAAAGTTTTCACGTTCATTTTTTTTTTTTTTTTTGTTTCATCAGAAGACAGTAGTGATGTGGTAAGTATATGAAGAATGAAACTTAAAATTCAAACTACTAAATTGCATTTTGCATGGTTATACTAGAATTTTTGTGATCTGTAGCAATTCTCTACGTTCTTTTGACAGATTTTGAGCAGGACCAAAAGACAGTCAGAGTGAGTTAACAGCTTTTTTATTCTAAATTTAATTTGCTACCAGTTGTTCTGTAGGCTGCAACACAGTCTGGAAGCCAAGAGAAAAAATAGTAAGGTCCAAAGAGTGACAAACATTTCTTCATCAACACAGATAATCACACTTTGATCCTTTATCGTATCTTTTATTTATTTTAACGAAATATATAGAATTGAGTCTTAACTTTTCATGCATGTTCTTTCAGATCAAGGACCTACAGGCTACCGTCTAATCCTCCTCCACCAGATATTTTCACTAATTCGGTAAGATGAGAAATTAAACAAATGATAATTTCCTTATTAAATGGACAAATATATGTGCAAAAATTTCTGACATAAATGTGCTAAAATTATGAGGTAGCTCTCTTTCCTTTGCATACAAGAATGACTCTTGTTTCTTTTGTTCCTTGCATATTTGTGTATTTTAAAAATTGCATATTAATTGGTGCTCCCGGCTTTATGACTGCCGGCATGTGTATAAGCACATACTGTTTATGGAAGATTGGTGTTGTGGTGAGGTTATAGAGAATGTTTGAAGTGGCAGCTCCAGGAAGTGTGCTTTGCAGAAGTGTTGAGGGATAAAACAAGTGAAGACGGAAAACATGGAACTATTTTAAGGATAGCTTTATAATTTATGGGGGAAGGGGAAAGGAAGAGTCATTTAAGGCATGCAAGAAAGCAAATTAAGTAATTTAGGTGCACAATTTCTTCTCTCTCTTAATGGGAGACACAATTTTTAGGCTATTTGAAGAACGATTCTTCTTATTATCTAGAATTAATCTTATAATATATTTTGATCATTAACATCATAGACTCTTCCCCCAAAAGGCGAACCTGGACTACCAGGAGACCGTGGGAGATCTGGACCACCTGGAATACCAGTAAGCCTCTACTGTTAAGTTGTGAATTTTAGATGACTGATTTTTGGAACCTGGAAACACAACAGACGTTTTTAGATTGCATGTTTTGTTCTCCCATTTCAGACAACAATTATGTGAAATGTACGTTCACTTCATTTCTACCCCAAAATAATATTATATCCATAGGGTTGCATAGGGCATCATATCTAATGAACCCCCTTTAAATGCTGCTCGATGTAAACTGCTTTTGCATTCAAAAACCATGAATTGTACCAGCAGTCTCTTTGCACATGGAGTATCTCTTTTATTCTGACACATTCAATCCCCAGTCATCTCTTTGCATCCAGTAGTGGATCACAGGGTCTGCCCTGCCCAAACGCAATTATATTAGACAATTTGAGGTTGAACGGGAGATTGGGTTGTTACCGCTTTTTTCGATAGCTTTTGCGGGAACTGGGTCAAAATTTGTTCCCCAATACAGTTCCATGGTCAGTCCAAATACCCCTAGTCTCAAGTGAAATTAGTTTGAGTAGAAGGTAATATATTTTTTAACACTGCTATGCAGGGTGAAAATGGCGATGCTGGCCCACGTGGACTCGGTGGTAAGCAGGTAATGATATGAATTAGTTCTTTATTGTTTTTCTTGTAATTTTGAATGCCCAAATTAGTCACAAATAAAACCACAGATAATCACGCTTTGATCCTTCATCTTTAAGGAAATGTATAGAATTAAGTCTTAACTTTTCATGCATGTTCTTTCAGATCAAGGACCTACAGGCTACCGTCTAACCCTCCTCCACCAGATATTTTCACCAATGAAAATTAGTCACAAATATAGCCATAAGATAACTCGCTTAAAATTAGTTTTGAAAATGGCTAATCAAAGGGTTTGCAGCGAGCAAAAATGTATTTTTGTTTTTACAGGGTAATCCAGGGACCCAGGGTTCTCAAGGCTCACCTGGACCTCCCGGGAATGCTGGACCATCTGGTATAACTCTTATAGGGGTAAGTTCAGGCTTTGTACAGGTAAGCATTGGGTAACATCGGGTGGAGCACAGCAGGACACCGTCGGGGGTTTCACGGAAATCATTTTTCATAGCCTTACTGGTACAGAACCCTACTTGCCTTTTGGAATTGCCAGAAAAACTAATGAACTTACTACACAGTAAAGTTGGACATACGTTTTTCTTCATGACATTAACATTGGATGGAGCAGGGCAGGACACCTTAGGAGGTTTCATGGAAACCGGTCATTTTTCGTAGCCTTAATTACTGGTACAGAACCCTACTTACATGTACCTTTAGGAATTGAAAAAACTAATGAACTCCTAAACAGTAAAGTTGGACAGAAGTTTTTTTTCATGAAATTTTACTGAAAGGAACAATCTCACTTCATGCGATGTTACCCAATACTAATCTACAGTATTGTATAATTGCGTTATATGTTTTGTTAAAACTGTTTGGATTGCAGATGGAAGACTGGGCTATTGAGGGGTGAACATTGGGCAAGTTGGCGGGAAGGGAGCAAGCCAGAGGGAGGTGGTGGTGGTGGTGGTCTTGGGGGGAGGGGTTCAGAATTTATTGAATTTGATTTACGCTATTGTTGTAGCAGCAAAACGAGTGTCAATACTTTTTGAATAGTGGATGTTTTTCTTCAGGCACCATCTGGAACGCTTTTATCACAAGATGAGATAGACCAAATCTTGCAAATATGGACGTCTATGCAGAGGCAAATCGTAAGTCCTACAACCATGATTGTAATAAATGAAGAGACGATTATCGCAGTAAAAAGGCAGCTTTAATATACAGTTGCGTAAAGAAAGCCTGAAAGCCTCAAAATATTTCTTCATTCCACTGTTAAAACATAAAATTCCGATATTCATCATTTCAATATGATTCTAGTTTGGTAGGTTTGTTAAGTAAGTGAGTAATCACGTCTATGAGTGATGACCTCTTTTGACAGATTCATTATTCATCCTCCTTAATTAATTACTGGCCCTTTAATATAGTCTCCTTCATTCTTTGTCACCTTACAGAACACCTTCAGCGTTACTGAAAATTAAAGGCTTTTGCTCCCAGATGCGTAATCTACCCGCAAAGTTGCCCTAGTTTGGTGTATACGTGCGTTATTCTTGAAAAGTTATGTCCTCTGCTGCGGAGAGCCGCGGGTGCAGAAACTTCCTTTATACAGATATATTCGGCTGGCTAATTTAGTTAAGATTAGAAGTCTCATAGGACTGTTTAAAATTTCTATGTTGTTGTCGATATAGGGAACTTATGGAAGGAAAGGACAAATCGGGGCCATTGGACTTAGTGGAGAAATCGGAGCTCAAGTAGGCAATGAATTAATATTATTAAACAATTGATTCCATTTTCCGTGTGTATGTTCAGATGTAGATCACAGGTGACGTCAAAATGTGGTAGAACAAACTAACGCGGCAAAGGTGCCGCAGAGGAGTGCATAAGTCACTGATGTTCTTATGTCCAGTACATAATCAGTTTCCTCCAAATTGCTATCCTGGCGTCTTTGTAGTTCTGAAAAATACGAAAAACTAATTGTTACGATGTTTAGAATTTGTATTAACATGTGCTCCTCTGACCGTAGAGAGATTTGGATTCACTTTTACGGCAAGCGGCAAACGTAAGATTCCGTTTGACGCTTTCTCAAAGTAGGAAATGAGCAGCTAAAATTCTTATGGCTGAACTTAAGATGAAACTGCTTATTTTTGTGTAGATACAGTCGAACCTTCAGGTGCGACCACCGCCCGTAAGCGACCGTGACCACATTTTGGGATGACTGCCTTAAGGTTGATTTCCACTGACGCGTTTTTGGCTGCGCACGTTAACGCACGTAAATTTTTATTCACGTAAATAAAACAGAGGGAAGATAAAAAGTGTAGAGCTTAAACGAGAAGTTAAGCGAGGTTCAAATTTTACGCTTACGAGCGACCTTTCATGCATTGCCTCTATTTTATTTGCGAACGTAAATTTTACGCACGTACGCGCGTAAAAATTACGCGACACTGGAAATCAACCCTTGGAACTTTCCATTGGTTTCATCTTCTTTTAAGCGACCAAATAAACCTTAAATTGATCTCTATGCTCGTTGTTTGGACTACACTACTAAGGGAATGCGATGTACTTTTAGTTGAAGTCAAACGCCAGTGGTCGTCATAAACGAACCTAACTTTTTAAAAAGTGATCTTGAATTTATTGCTGCACTTTGCTTATTTTGGAATTTGTTTGTTTGCAGGGTCTTCAAGGAGAGCGCGGACCCCGAGGTGCTAAGGGAATCAAAGGAGAAATGGTCAGTCGAATGCTTGGATTTACATTGCAGTGGCTTCCATA